GCTCCGTTGGTTGGAGAATCTTCTCCTACACCAAAAGTTTGCAGGTTTGATTTCCAGTCAGGACTCTTACCTAACTTGTGGGTTCTGTACGTGGTCAGGGCACATACGGGAGGCAACCGATCAATACTTTTCTCTCATATCAATGTGTCTCTCTCTCTTGCTCCCTTCCTCTCTCTCTAAAATCCATAAACATATCCTCGGGTGAGGATTAAAAAAATAGTTCATTATTTTCTATTGCTGAGTAATATTCCATTGTATGAATATATCACAACTTGTTTACCCATTTACCTGTTGATGGGCATAAGTGTTGCCTCCAGCTTTTGCCTGTTTCAAATAAAACTACAAAGATCATTTGTGTATAAATAATTTTTAGTTCTGTTGAGAGATTATTTCCACTTAGGAGAAAAATAGTCATATGGGAGGCATATTTATTACCTTTTAAGAACCTTTCAAATTGTTTTCTAAAGTGGCTGTACCACTTTACATTCCCATTAGTAATATGTGAGATTTCTAGTTACTTTGCATGCTTTTCAACACTTTTTAATTTTATCTATCCTCATGGGTAGAATAATGATATCTTATTGTGGCTTTAATTTGCATTTCCTTGATGACTAATAATGGTGAGCATATGCTCATGTGTTTCTTCACCACCTGTATATTTACTATGGTGATGCGTTCAATCTTTTGCCCATTTTTGATTGGTTTTTTAGTCTTCTTATTAAATTGTAAGCAGAACACCTTATCATTTTTATAACATTTTGAAAAGCAGTTTTATTGAGATATAATTCACATACCATACAATTCACCCATTTAAAGTATATAATTAAATGGCTTTCAGTTTATTCAGAGTTGTATAATCTTCACCACCATTATTTTGAGAACACTTCCGTAACTGAAAGAAGGAACCCCACACCCTTTAGCCATCAACTCACAATCTTCCCATCCCCCACCACTATCCTTAGGCAACCACTAATCTACTTTCTGTTTCTATAAATTTGCCTATTCTGGACATTTCATATAAATGGAGTGTTTTGTTTTGTGTTTTTGTGATTGTTTTTTTTTTCCACTTAGCATGTTTTCAGGCTTTATCCATGTTGAAGCATCTATCAGTACTACATTTAAAAATTATGCAATAATATTCCACTGTATGGATATATAATGTTTTATTTATTCATTCATCAGTTGGTAGACATGTCTCCACCTTTCGGCTATTATGAACAGTGCTTTTATGGATATTCATGGGCAAATTTTTATGTGGACATAAGTTCTTCTTACTCTTGGGTAGATACATAGGAGTAAAATTGCTGTACCATATGGCAACGGTATGTTTAGCCTCTTGAGAACTACAGGTTGTTTTCCAAAGCAGCTGTACAATTTTACATTCCTACTACCTATATGTGAGGGTTCCAATTTCTCCACATCCTCACCAACACTTGTTATTATCTGTCTTTGATAAAGTCATTGCAGTGGATATGAAGTGACGTTTCATTGTAGTTATAAAGTGTCTTTCGAAGAACAAAAGTTTTTACTTTGAAAAAGTCCAGTTTTTTGACATTTTTTTCTTTCATGTGTTGTCTTTTTAAAAATCATTGGCAAATCCATGATTTTCTCTCTCCCCACCCCTGGAAATTCTATAGTTTTAAATCTCAAATTTATGTCTATAGTCAATTTTGAGCTAACTTTGTATAAGATGTGAGGTAAGGCTATCCAATTTTCCCAGCAACATTTATTAAAAAATTATCCTTTCCCCACAGAATTGTCTTGGCACTCTGGTAAAAATAATTTGAGGGTCTGTTTCAGGACTCTTACATTTATGTAGCCTTACTCCAGGGCTAATTTTCTGACAATATCGAGTTGATATCCTTTTGACTTTTACCTAGTGCCTTTATATTACAAGGTTTTCCGTTCTGCCCAGATTGAACCTGAAAGCTATTCCCAATCCTGTGTGAATTTGGGGGGTTTCCCCTTTGTTTCTTTTAGGTAGTTCTTTTCCTGGTCTAGTGTAGTTTCTTCACATGCAACAACACATTGGTACTCAGTCTATGACTTGAAGGGAACCCTCTGAAGACCTCCAGAGCATGTGGTCTCATGCTCCTCTCTCTCTCTCTCTCTCTCTCTCCCCCACACACCTCTCCCTTCTTCCTTCCCTTCTCCCCTCCCTTCTCTCTACATCAGTCTCCACTCCATACTCTGCCCTGAAAACGTTATTGTCTTAGCCTTCCTGATCTCTCATTTGTCCTCTTCATTCAGAGAAAACACTGGATTTTGCATAGGTTCCACTCTCACTGAACTATAGCCTGGAAATTCTCTCCAGTCTGTTATTTGGGGCAATTGCAGGGCTCATTTCATTTATTTTCCTTGTCTCAGGGATGACTCTCCTTTCTGTTACCTAATGTTTTACACTTTTTTCCCCTAGTTGTTTAAGGCAGAAGAGTAAATCTGGTCATTGTTCCTTCATCTTGGCTAGAAGCAGAACTGGTATTGGTACTGTTGTTTTAGTCTCTAATCCACCACTCTGGCTTATAAAGTATCCACCCCAAGCTCTCTCTTTCTCTCATACATATCCACACAGGACACCTTGTACCCCTGTCTTCTTTAAAGCTTTATCTTTATAATAAAAGTATGGGTCACCCACCGGTCATTGTGGATTACAATGACCCAAAGCAGGAAATGGGGAAATCCTCCCTTACCCGGGTGAAGGAACTCCTTGGTTGCACTTTTGTTTATTCATTCATTCATTCATTCATAGATGACAGCCTGGATTTAATTTGCCTCGCTTGCATTTGGGGTCGAATTATTTTCTTCTTTTGTACCTTTATATTGTTCCTTTGATTTGGGACAATGAATTTAAGCTTTCTAAGTCTCTCCTGTGAAATGAGGGTGCAGAAATAGTTTTGAGGATTGACCTTATGTAGAGGGCTTAGCCCAACATCTCACGCTCAGAAATGTTGCTAATCTGATGCTCAATCCTCAGTGCTCACCTCACTCAAGCTATCATTGGTACTGGCCCAAGCTAATCATTTTTCTTTTTTTTCTTCACTTGGTGTCAAGTACAACACTCTCAGTTCTCCTCCAACCTCGCTGTCTTCTCAGATTTTTTACCTTCTGAATCTCTACATGCCTTCTTTGTTATTATTGCTTATTTCATAGGAGGTCTCATCCAGTCTCATGCCTTAAATACTGTCGCTAAGCTGATTATTCTCAAAGTATATCTCTAGCCTGGAATTTGAACACTAGACATATATATATCCTAGTGGTGATCTTTGCCATTTTGTCTCCAGATTCATTCCCCCTCCTTCCTTTGCTCTACTTTGCATTATGGAGGGTCCGACCCCTGCCGGCTGCATTTGTTAGGCTCCTGTGTCAGCCAGCTTCAGGTTACACTTGACCCACAGGAGGCACTGGTTAGAGACTGGAGGATAGGAGGAAGGAAAAAATCACAAGTACTTTTGGTATTTTTAACTCCCTTCTTTTATCCTTGGCCAGTGGCTCTGGCAGAGGCTGCTGGTCAACACTATAACCTGTGGTTTCTGTTGACACTATCTTCCCTCAGTAGTGCCTAAGCCCTTCCTGTTGTTCCTAATCGCTGTCAGGGGCCTACCTAAACCCTGTTGGGCTTCCCAGCAATTCCACTACCTCTGTAACAATTTCCCCTGTTTGGAATGCCTCGAGTGGCTCTGTTTCCTGATGGAGCCTTAGCTGACAGAGTTCCGTAAGAGGTGTTTAGAGTTCTCTAACAGGCAAGAGTATTTAGTAAAATGGCAACCCCGTTTTACCAAACCCATTAGCACCACCCTTGACACCGCTTTCCCCCTCATGCCTGTATCCAACCACCAGGAAACGCTCTCGGCTCAACCTTATGAACATACCTCGAGTGGAGTATTTTCCTCCACCTCCATTGCTCTCCCCACCCTGGTCCAAGCCATCATTAACTCTCACTTGGGTTGTTGCAGTGGCCTTCTCACCAGTCCCCCTGATTCCATAGTTGGCCCTAGCAGTTACTGTGATCTTTCTAAGCTCTAAACCAGACTGTGTTGCCTTTCTATTGAAAAACTTCCACTGGCTTCTCACCTCATTCAGAAGAAAAAGCAGGAGAGGGGTGGTGGGAGATGGAAGAGGGTATGGGGGGGTGGTGACTGGTAATGGAAAAATAATACAATAAATGGATGGAGAGTAGAAAGATAAATAAATAAATAAATAAAAATACAAAAAAGCCCCTTAGTCTTTACCATAGGTCCTCAAAGGCTGCCAACTACTTCTAGGACTTCATTTTCCACCACTCTCAGCATGCACATTCTGTTCCAGGGACCCAGACCTCATTCCTCTTGCTAGAATCAATTAGGAATATTACTGCCTCAGGGCCTTTGCACATGCTACTCTCTCCCCTCAGAATGTTCATTCCCCAGTATCAACATGGTTGTCAATCACCTTCCTGTTTGTGTTTAGATGTCACTTCATCAGAGAGTCCTTTTCTGATTATCTTACATATAACATTGCATCTTACCTCGTTACTCTTTTTTGTTCTTCATAGCATTTTCTACTACTTTATATCCTATAGTTATTTATTCATGGTATGCCTCTTCTCTTTAGAATGTAAGCAGGAGGACAGGGACCTTGTTTGGTTGGCTGCTATATGCCTAGTGTCTCAGTAATGCTTGGCATATTTAGTAATAAAAATAAAATGTACAGCAAGATTGCTTTGCAGCAGTCACAATGCTAAGTGCTTTATACGGAGCATATAATTTGAAGCAGAGGGTGTCGGCTCTTCAGGCGGACCTCCTGGTGCAGAGCTAAGAGACCAGGGGTGAGACGATAGAGCAGCGATCGGCCAAGGGCTGGGAGGCGTTGCCCTGGCTGCCGCGCCTCTCGGGCCCGCCCACGGCGCATGCTCCGCGGGGGCCGCCGGCCGGCCCGGGAAACGCGGAATTCAGCCGGGGCGGAGTCGCCGCCGCACTTCCCGGCGATCGCCCATTCTGATTGGCGCCGCTAATAGCCTCAAGGCGGAGCGGACGCCGGCCCTGGGGTCAAACTATCTCCGCCCTCCCCAGGGGCCCTCTAGGAGTCCCGGCCTTTGCGAGTGGGCATTGCGGCTTTGGACAGCGGCCCGGGAGGACGGCTCCAGGTGAGTCCCGGCCCCAGCTGCTCCGGCAGGTGCGGGTGCGGCAGTTCGGATCTACCTCCGCAGGCTCCGAGGGGAGTGTCGCGCACAGCTCCTCGGGTGTCAATTGCGTGGTCCCGAGCCTCTGCAGGTCCGCAACACCATGTCCGCACGGCTCGAGACGTCTTGCCCCAGCACCCTACTGGTGGTCCAGCCACATCCCAATGATCCAGGAGTTGGAAGCTCCCTGAAGTTGTCCGCCCCGCCCGGTGCCCTCTGATTCCCAGTCACTGAAGTTGCCCAGAACCTTCCGACTGCGGTGACAGCCAAGATTCTTGATTCTCAGCTCCCCTCTTTCCTTTTCGTCCTCTACTCCCATTAGCTCCTTCAGGCAGCCTGCCCAGCCTTGACTAGTTAGCTCACGATTTGGTCGAGAGTGGACTTTGGCTTTAGTCCTGGTGAAAATTCCGGCGACACTATTTAACCAGTTGGCACTTTGCTTTCCGCACTTTACTTGGGTGAACCTCAGTTTCCTGAAATAAGTATTTAAGGGTGCTGCACAGAGTGGTGGAGGAGTAATTGACTTAGTAGGTCATAAGCGATGCCTGTGGCGTCTGGCACATAGCAAGAGCTTAAGTGGGAGTCGACATTGTTATTGTTGCTGCTGTTTTTATTAAGCTGTATGACAAGTTGCTTTGGGGCTTCAGCCACTAAACTGTTGGACTGCTCCTATTTCATATTGCAAAATCTGTACTGTGCATCTAATAGGTGAGTGGCACTTGGATAGGTCCTAGGGATTCAAAGTGAATGAGACACTCTGGGTGAGCTTGGGCGAAAGAGGGAAGATAAATACTTAATTGGAGTGTTAACGATGTAGAAAGAATTGAGTGAAAGTGGCTAAGGGAGCCTAGAAAAGCCCCTGGAATCCAGCCTGAAAGGGGCTTTTTCTCCATTTACACTTGTCAGTCTTCATCCTTCTGGGAACCACTTGGCTGGTAAGTTAAACTTGCTTAGTGTTGTGTTGGAAGGAAAGGTTTGCTAGGCGATCTTTCCTGGAGTAGCTTCAGCTGTTACCTCGGAGAGACTCCTCCGTGGACAGCTGGTCCAGGTGCTGCAGGACAGGGGAGGAATGGGAAGCAGCTACTGCTGGATGCTGTATTGTTTTAAAAATTGTGCTTATAACCTTTCATTTTTTTCCTTTTCAGTCGACTTATTCCCTAGTAATACGAGAATTTTGAGAGGTTGCATTTAAAATAAAAGGTAGAGCAGGATGGTACAGCCCTTCTAACTACCACCAAGAAGTGCAAACTTTTGCCTAAATGCAAGTGGGCTTGCTTTGCCAGTGCAGACCCCATGATAAGATTCCCTGCATCTGCAAGTTCGGGGTTCACCACTGCTAGGAGAAGTAAGTGCAGCACCAGCAGGAATTGCATCAAAGAAGGTGTCAGTTCACTTTTGCATCTTCTTGAGAACCAGATCCTTAAGATTTGTGGATTACAGGCATACCTTGGAGATATTTTGGATTTGGTTCCAGGTTGAATAAATAAATGAAGCTCTGTTGCCATACTTGCTGTATTGTGAAGGTCTGGAACCAAACGCTCACTATCACCGAGTTATGCCTGTACTGAGTTTAAGCATAGTCTTTTAAAAATAGCTGTATTGTATTATTAACATTCAATGACAAGACATATTTTAAATGTACAATTTTATAAGCTTTGACATATGTATGCACCTGTGAAACTATCAGTAGATTCCATGTAATAAATCTAGCCATCACTCCCTGCCCCCTACTTCCTCCAGAGCTTCCTTGTGTATAGCCTTTTGTAACTCCTTTCTCCCACTTCTTTCCTCCTCAGGCAGCCATTGATCATCTTTCTGTCAAAATAGATAGGTTGCATTTTCTAGAGGCATTTTTTTGGGTGGGGGAGGGTGTCTGGCTTCTCTCACCATAATTGTTTTGTGATTCATCCATGTTATTTAGTTCATTCCTTTGTATTGCTGAGTAGTATCTTTATACCATAATATGCTTACCAATTTACTCATTTGGGGCATTTGGGTTTTTCCAGTTTTGGGCTATTATATACAACCTGTTATAAACATTTAAAAAATACACTTAACTGATTCCAAAGAAAGAGACAAACATCGATTGGTTGCCTCCCGCATGCTCCGCAACCAGGACCAAACCCACAATCCAGGTATGTGCCTGACACGGAATCAAACCCGTTGCCTTTCGGCCTTTCTGTGCACAGGAGAATGCATCAACCATCTGAGCCACACAGGCTGGACTGCTATAAATATTTTTGTACAAGTGTATGGGCATACACACATGGACCTTTTTAAGTGATTATATTTACTTAAAACAATGCAGGAGGCCAGGGCTGCAGTTCCAGCCTTGCGTCTAACCATCTGGGTGTCCTTGGGAGAGTCACTGCCCTCTGCCTTTCACAGTCACCTCCAGTTCTTTGCCATGTTGTGATTTTGTGCCTTCACTGACAGAAACCTGATGGTCTTTGTTAATGGTTGGAGGGTCTCAAAAGGAGAGAGGGGTGGTCTTCTTCCCCTTTGTTTCTCTTGCAGGCTCTTTCATTTCACTTTTTCCCTTTGGGTGACAAATTTGAATCCTAACCTATAAATCGGAGCAAGAATAGAAGTGAATAGATAATCAGGACAAAAGCTAATAACACTCACTGAACTTAAATGTATTTAAATCACAATTAGAGAGAAAAGGGTGGAAAGTGAACAGGCTTGGGACTTTTGAGGACCTTCCTTTTTCTTAACTAGCTTCTTCTACAATAAGTCCTTCCTTCTTTTATTTCTCCAGTAACAACTTATTTAACCTCCTCATGAAGCAGTGAGTAGGTGTGGGGGTGGCTGGGGGGGGGTGGTGTTTCTTAGTAAAAGAATTCCTCCTTTTTCGCTTCCAGATATGACTGGAGTCATTTGTTTCCTATTTGCCTTTCACCTAAGTTCTACTTGCCCTAAACCTGGTTCTGAACTCTTTATGGGAACATTAATCTACCACCATAATTATATGCAGGGAAATTTGGACAAATAACAACAGACTGTTTTATACCGAATGAAAATGTGGCTCTTGGGTTTGGTGTTCTGTTTGGCCCTTGGGACCCTGCATTCTGAGACATCCAGAGGGAAGCTGACAACTGTGGATCCTGAAATAAATATGAATGTGGTAAGTTTCTCAGAGTCACCTGCTTTTAAAATGCGTGTGACAAATGTTAAATATTTTCTTAAATTCAGTTATGAGGGTTACACAGAGCCACAAACTCAAATCTTTTTATATCTCATAGTGCTTTTCACATTCCCCGAAGCTTAGATTCAGTTTGCTGGACTCTCCTAACAGGTGATGTATATTTTGCAGATTGCATCTTACTGTTAAAACTATGTACTTCTTACTGAGCGATAAATGATATTTTTATTTATATATTTATATATTTTAAAGATTTTATCCATTTCTTTTTAGAGAGAGGGGAAGGGAGGGAGAAAGAGGAATTAAAACATCAATGTGTGGTTGCCTCTCACTGTCTCCCACTGGGGACTCAGCCTGCAACCCAGGCCTGTGCGCTGACTGGGAACCAATCTGGCAGCCCTTTGGTTCGCAGGCCAGCGCTCAGTCCACTGAGCCACAGCAGCCAGGGCAATAAATGATACTTTTATAGATTTGTTTAATTTTCATGTCTCACTAAATCTGTTTAAAGGACAATAAAAAAAAGTGTCAAAAGTTTGCAAGAACATTGCTACTGAGTGCTGCTTTTACAATACATTGAACAAGAATCATGATTAACGATGTTCAGGAAGCATAATTCATTACAAAAATGAAAATATCTGAAAAAACATTTTATTAGACCAAACATGCAAAAATAATCCCTTGAATAATTAAAACATTTGCAAGTTTTTAATCTTGAGTAAACCATAAAGTCTGGAAATACCTCATTTAGGTATAAAGTACTGGGGAAATAAAGATTACTGAAAAAACCAGGATGAGACCTCTTAAAATAAGGATAGTGGTAGATCACAGTATTAGCTGGCATACTTAGAAAAGAAAGACTGTTTATTCGTGCCTGGGAGCCATGATGGGAACAAGGACGCCCAAAGCTATGGTAAAATTAGTCACAGTTGGTGTGGAACATGCTAGAATGATGAAAGTGAGGTTTAACTAAACACCTGTGAGTAGAGCACACGGATAAAACAAGTGGAGGGTTTACTTTGGCGATGGGTGTGCAACTACATTCAGCAGACTAAAATTTCAACTTCTTTTTAAATTTTATTTATTTATTTATTTTTAAAGAGAGGGGAAGGGAGGGAGAAAGAGAGAAACATCCATGTGCTGTTGCCTCTCATGTGCCCCCTACTGGGGACCTGGCCCGCAACCCAGGCCTGTGCCCTGACTGGGAATCGAACTGGTGACCCCTTTGGTTCGCAGGCTGGTGCTCCATCCACTGAGCCACACCAGCCGGGGCTGAAACTTCAATTTCTTAAGTAAAGCCTAGAGAATGTTATTGATATTGTGCCTTCTCCTTTCCCTGTAAATATGGGAGATGTCAGATTCTGTCCATAGAATTTCCATTATAATTATATTTTTTCTCCATAGAGTGAAATTATCTCTTACTGGGGATTTCCTAGTGAGGAACACCTAGTTGAGACAGAAGATGGATATATTCTTTGTCTCCACCGAATCCCTCACGGGAGGAAGAACCATTCCGACAAAGGTATGGGTGTTTTCTGTGTCAGGATAGGAATTTGACCAGTTTCTATGAGTCACTAGATTAAGGAATTTCTAGAGAGATTACTTGACATTTTTAAATATCAGAATAAGGATCTGATTCTTATTTAATCCTCTCCAGATGTAGCTTGATCTTTAACATTTTCTGATTTTAGAAACTTTCCTTAGTAAGTTAAGGTTGAGATTAAGGTAATTGGATAATTATCTCATCTTCAATTAAATTTTTATAGGAGTAGAAGGCCTGCTTTTGCTTAATACCTTCCCAAATTATTATTCAAAGCAAGCTTAAAAACCTTATGATAATGATCATTATCTGTTTTTTTCTTAATATCTGACTTATCTATTTCTTTGTCCATAAATGGCCCTAATCCTTAAAATGGCCCATGCTGTTTTTGAAATTTAATTTCTAATTCTTGAGATTTTTATGATTTACAGATACATACTCTTAAGCTTTCTTTTTATAAGCATATTACAAAAATGAATAGTGAGCTACAGTGAGGGCTTCTATATGTTCATCAGCTCAAACACACAAAACATTTACGAGGTCTGTCCAGAAGATACCCAGTCATGTAATATGAAAAATAGAGACATTTGTTGAAGAAGTTACAAGACACAAGAAAGACTGTATATAGGACAGTGCTGCCTCAGTCCCCATCAAAGCAGGCACCTTGGGACCTCACACAGTTCTCCCAGTCGCTATCAGCGGCCCCGTCATATTTTCCTGAATCTCATCAATGGTCTGAAATCTCATCCCTTTCAAAGGTGATTTTCATTTTGGGAAAAGCCAGGTCGCAGGGTCCCCAGTCTGGGCGGTGGAGGGGCTAAGTCACCTGGGTGATTTGATGTTTCTCCAAAAAACTGCATGAGATGTGATGCATGAGTGGCTGGGTTGTTGTGATGAAGCTGCCGATCACCAGTTTCCCATAGCTGCGGCCTTCTGAGTCATCTGAATAGTTTCTGTGGAGGAATTGTTCACACTTAACTCAAAATTTGATGCAGATTTGTTGGTGTACTTGCTCAGTCATTTTGAATGTGACAGCCACACAGTACACATGCTCACTCAGTGGCATCTACTGCCCTGACTGTCTAGTACAGGGAAGTCATCATTGTTCACACATATGCGTCCCACTCCCCTCTTCTTGGCTGCCAGGCTACATCGATGTTGTGCAAACCATTCTTGTTATATTAACAATGGCTGGCCTTTTTCCAGACAGACCTCGTATTTCATTCCACAATGATCATATGATTTTGGTTTCCTTTATTTTTTTCCTCTAAAGTAAACCCTGTATACTGACTACAGATCCCATACAAAGAAAAATATATTTTGATGTTATTTCTCTTAAAAGTGGGTAATTGACTAATATAATTAGTAATGTGAGTCATTGTTAAAAGATGCAGGGATACTCGCTAAAAGCAAGCTTTGAGAACGTGCCTCCTCTTTTTGTCTTATCACCACCTCCAAGCTTCCTTGTCCATACAGCAATTAAAGCAAATAGGGCCTCATGCCCTATGTGTATGTATTGAGAATATGGCAGGGGAAGATGGTATGCACTGGAATATGAAGAAAGTGAGCACAATTTTTGGCTCATTCCCAGGGGTTAGGAGGAGAAGTTAGGAGACCTCAGTGCTAGGTCTGTCTCAGCCCCTTAGTGCTTGTTTGGCTTCACATATGCAGGCCTAGCGTTCTTCATCTGTAAAAACAGTCGATTGGCTGTTTCCGTCTGTCTTTCTCTCTCTCTGGTTCTATAGGTTGTATTCTATATTCTTTTTGTTTTACTGGTGTTTTGTTTTGTTTTGGCAGAGGTGTGGGGCAGTGGATCCTCTTGGTCTTCAAAATGGGGAACAGAAAGTACCCTAAATCATAGCATTAGGTTCCCACGTTCTTCTTCTGTTCCTCGGAGGCTTCAGTGGTGTTCATATAACACCTGCTGTGAGCTACCCGCAGAGGGGAGTTTTAGAGGAAATCTGTGACAAATGACTCAGTGACCTAAAGGAATCTGTGGTTTTCCTGCCCACTGCATGGATTCTCCTGTGACAGCTGGTTTGCATGTTCATGGTCCAAGGCAGAGGCTCTTTATTGCCCTTCACTCATATTCAGCAACAGCGTTGTCGGTGGTGTTACTTTGGCTCATTTGAGCCAAATAGACAAAAGAATTCCTAAGGTCCTTCACATGGAAGTCATCATCTTCTCATTCACACAACTTCCTCTCCTGACTTCCTCCTTTATTAATAACACCATCACCCTCCACATGACCCAGGCTAGAATCTGCAGAATCATTCCTGACCCCCAACCCCCAGTAGCTGTCAAGTCCTCTCGAGGCTGCCCACGTGATACGGCTTCAGTTCACCCCTTCCTTCGCTTTGCCAGGCCACCCCTGTACCTTGTGTTCTTGTTACCATTTAACTGGACGCTTGAAACAAACTCAGAACCTGAGAGATGCTTGAGCCACTTCCATTTTTAAGGCTTCCCATATATGAAAAGAAGAAAGAATTTTAAAACAGGAATGTGAAAATTCAGTCTGCTTATCTTTTAAGAAATTAGTGCTTTTAATACACACAGAAATAACACCATACGTCTATACTATCTACAAGTCATTACAAGATACATTGAGACATGAGTCATTTATGAGGTTAAGGTGAAACCATTCCTCTTACTCTTTTCAAAGTGTCCCCTACCTCAGTTTTTTGGTTGCACTGTGGTGCTTCCACAAGCAGAGTTTGCAGCTGTATGACGCGCGTCTTTCCGCCTTGTCTCAGTGGTCGTCTGATTGTATGTGGAGCCTCATGTGGAGATTGTTGGAGGCTTTATGATCACAGAGCTTAGCCACACGGCTCCTCTACACGTGCCAACTGCTTTCTTTTCTGCCAGCCTCTCTGTTTTCATTCATCTTATGTAGAATTTTGTAGGATTAGGCTTCTTAGAGCCCAGGCATAATTACATGATACTGCCATTCGACAATCTTCGGGGGCCTGCTAAATGAAGATGTTCACCTTCCCTTAATATTCTGTCCTATTCGTTGTCTCTACCATTCACCCCCATTCTGTACAGCAGTAGGCCTTTGAGGTTCACCCTGGATATGGTTCCCCAAGGTAGTGAGTGCAGTCATAGGCTACGATGTCTACGGGGTCTGCCTCTGTAGGAAGGGGTAGGATTCCTCTTTCACAAGGTGTACAAGGGGTGCTTGCCAACTGTTGGTTGCCACCTATGTTTACCCATTATCAAAGAAACATTTGTCATTTATCGACTGTACAGGTTTCAGTTGGCATCACAGCCAAATTATGGATGATATAATTGGAGTTGCATTTGTTATGTTAATAAGTATCAAAGAACTACTTTCTGACACTCTCAAATCCAGTTATTTTATCCCAGAGTTATTTCCTTTTTGCTAAAGTCTCCTTGGACTTCAGCTGGTGAACACAACCTCTGGAAGGTTGCTCACCCTGCCTATGGTCTTCTTTTTTTAAAAAAATTTAATCTTTATTGTATTTTTTCCATTACTGTTTAATCCCCCTGTACCCCCTCCTCCCAGCAGTCACCACACTGTTGTCCCTGCCTGTGAGTCCTTCTTCCTTTTTTTCTCCCCTCCCCCAGCCATCATCTTTTAAAAAATTCCTTTCACCCTTCCCAGCCCAGCGGCGTAACTGCCAACTCTCCCTGACTGCTTAAGCAGGAGGGAGACACGCGCCTTCTCTGAACTCTCAGCAGCCTTGCGAATACCCCTCTTGAGGTGCTTTTCTTACTTTGCTTCGGGTTGACTTAGTGTTGTGCTTCTTTCGCTGCATCATCCCTCCCTCAGTCTTTGAAGGCTGAGGCTCTGTCTTTATCATCTTCGTGTCCTTCAGAGCCACCAGCGGCCCCATCTCCGCTGCATGGACCCTCGAGGGATGGTTATACCAGGGCTGTCTTCAGAATTGGGGTACGTGACTGGCTGAAGGCAATGGCCCTTCTCCCTAGTAAAATGAAAGGCACCCGTGCCTACACCAGTTTTGGATGTATTTGAAGAGAGTTTATGGACTGAGTAAAGAATCCCCTGATTTGCACAGTCGTTTCCATGTCTGGTCAAGAACAATTACTTAGAAAGCTCTTGGTGAGCTGTGAAGTATGCGTCTCAGTGTTAAACAAACTTCTCTGTTGAGTGTTGAGCTATCCCTGCTTTGCATTAACTCCATAAGGGAATTGAAATTCAGAAATTCATTATTTATAGGGAAGTGGTTCTGTTTTTAGCTCCTCAGCCTTATTTCAGAAGGTCATGGGATGTTAGCACTAGAATGATCTCAGAGTCCTGCCTGGGCTGAGGATTCGGAGAGCTTTCATTGTTAACATGGTCTCCTGTGGACTCCGAGGTAAAAACCTGGGGATTGAGAACCTGTGCTGTAGAGCGACTCCCTCATTTTACTGGGTGAGACAGCCAGTTCAAGGAGGAAAAGGGATTTGCTTTAGGGCAAGGGATGGTGGGCCGGCCAGTTTGAGTCAGTGGTGTTTAAACTAGAGAACCTGGCCTTAGGTAATAAGTATTGAGCAGGTTAATCCCATGATGAACTATTTATTTTAATTGGCCAAAACAAGGAAATACATATAGGCCTTGAATAAAGTATACAAATTGTCCAATAAAGCAATCATCAAATAAAGCACCAATAGTATCTGAAAAGTTTTGTACCTGATGGCGTTCTGGGATATGAATAAATGCCTTCAGTGTGCACAGGCAGGCATTTTGAACTTAGCCTTGGCAAAGGCTCCTCCGGGGCTCCTTCTGAGGGCTGAGCACATTTCCCTCTAGATGACTCCACTGTGAACACACCTATGGATGGGCTGCACCAGAAGAGCCAAGGGAGCGTGTGAAAGCTAATTATTTCCGGGCTCTGTCCCTGGAGTTCCTGATTCCCTAAATCAGAACCAGGGCTGGAAATGTGTTTGTTGTCTGAGTGGCCCAGGTGATTTTGAAAGGCAGCCAGTTTGAGGAAATAGTGCTTGGCTTGCGTGGAAATGGCTAGAATGCCTATAAGTGCCCACCCCGCCCCCTTTGTTTTCTAATGAATTTTTCTCTAGAGTAGTAGTTAAAAGCAAGAGCTTTGGCATGCGGCTGACTTGGGTTTCAATTCTGGCTCTGCTAGGTGAGCCTTCTAGGGCAGGCTACTTAATTTCTGTTTCCAGGCATCAGTTACCTTATCTTTAACATGGGATGGATCTTAACAGCTCTCTTGTAACAGTATATAGTTCATGTAAAATGAAGTGCTAGGCACATAATTTGTAGCTGTTGTGACAAAGGTGAGTACTAATAACTATACGTCAGCCAGGTGCCAGTGCTTGCTAGGGTTTATCTGAAGTAGTTGGGGCAGATTCAGGGAGCCTCCCAGGCCCTGACGTTTTTGGTGATCTAACACCCAAAGGGATGGTTGAACCAGACCTTGGACTTCAGTTTTGTGTGAGCCGAGGGCCTCTTGGGTGGGTGCTGAGCTTTCCCGAATTGTTTGGCCCCATGGGTGATTGCAGAAAGGTCGAAGGTGAGGGGTGGTTCTGATTTTGCTTTACTCACTGCGAAGGGGCGAGAATGCTTATGTACCATAAGCTAAGTCCTTGAGGCCATTTTGTCTACAGCCTGCCTTTGCAGAGGAGGGCTGGGGCCCTTATGCAAATTACAGTCTAACTTCTAGGAGATCCTAAAAGATTTTAGGTTATGTAGGCTCCTGCTAGACTATCAAGAAGCAAGGGTGCTCTGTCTCCCTTAGGCCCAGGAGACATACTGCTGCCTTGGTGTCCTGGTTTGGGATTGCCGGCTGTGCGACTGTACATAGATTGCTTGGCCACAGTGTGCCTCAGAGTCATCATCTGAAAAGTGACAGTAAATGCTAGTCCCCAACTGTATTAGTTTCCTGTTGCTGCTGTAACCAGTCACCACAAATGCAATATGTTAAAACAACATAAATTTATGATCCTGTAGTCCTGGAGGTCAGAAGCCAAAAAGAAAGCTGTTGACAGAACCTTGTTTCTTCTGAAGGCTCTAGGGGAGGTCTGTTTTTCTTTCTTTTTCAGCATCTAGAAGCTGCCTGCATTCCTTGGCTTCTGGCCCCGTCTTTTATCTTTAAAAAAGCGAGCAGTGTAGCATCTTCCTGTCTCTCTCTTACTCTGACCCTCCTGCCTGTGTTTCTGTTCTAATGTTATTTTATTATATTTATACATTCAGTATTGTTTTTATGAGTCATTATTTCTTGAGCTTTACTGTATATCAGTCACTGTACCCTTCCCACTTTGAAAAGGACATCTACACATCATGGGAGTTTGGGTAAATCCTACGAGTTTTTGTAACCATTAAGAACCAAGGTCTGTTTCATGCCAATCCCTTGGTCTTTGTGAATTCCTCCTTGTTCTTCTTTTGGTTCTTCCTTGCATGTCAGCTGATTTCTCACACCATCTGGGGGCCTGGTCCGTGGTGGCCTGACCAGATAGAGAAGGCCAGTGACTTGGGAGGTAGGAGGAACTTCCCTGCCCACCCACCATATTCTTCCCCCATCCACTTGTCATCTTCCTCATATGAGACAGTGGGCTCAGCAGATTCGTTTTCGGAGCCCAAGTAATCCCCTCCACACTTCCACCCACATTTGGGCCTAATCAGGCAGGCAACGCAGTGGTGGGGCATCTCTTTGCTGACTCTGTGCTAACTATTTAGGCGACCACGACAACGTCACTTGCCCACTCTGGTCCAGGGTGCTTTTGGGACTTTCCTTCGGTCAGTCCCCAGCTCTCCTCGAACCGGTTCAGGAGAAACGAACCAATTGTAGGCATAGCCAGGGAAGACAGCGCTTGTCCTGGCATATTAGTTTGCTGCTCAGCCACACCAGGCCTCAGGTGCTGGAGTGTGTGGACCAGGCTGGCCCTTGGAAGAATTGCCTGAGCAGGCAAGGTTGTCTCATGCCCCTGTCTCCCATTCTCTGTTTCCTCCACCTACTAGAGATTGCTTTCTTCCAAGCATTTGGTTCAGCTCCTTCCAAAATAGCTTCCCCTCTTCAGGCTGTCGTTCTTTGAGGACTTTCTGTATGGTGCAGAATGACTTTACTCTGGCTAATGTTCTTTCCTATAACAAAGCAGTTCCGATCATGGGCCGTGGTATCAGGTATACCTGGGTTCACGTCCCAGCTCCCACACTTACCAGCTCTCGGTCAACAGTGGTGAAATTATTTGACTTCTCTCATGCTCAATTCCCTCTCTGCTAAAAGGGAATAGTACCAACTTCACAGGACTTTTACCACAGTACCTTAGAGCTTGTAAGCACACAATAATACCCATTATTGCAGTCAGCTTTTCTCAGCAAGGGGAAAAGAAATCCGATTAACAGAAATAAGTGTCAGTTCACTTCCCGTATGACTATCCAATGAATCTTCTCGTTTTTCTTCAGTATTTTATACTCTTCACTTGCATACATCATTGCCGCGTAGCTGCAGTGCAGAGTAGTCCGTAATTCCATGCTTTACTCTTTTTTTCCCCTTTAAGCCTCTGTTAGAAGCGTTTCTGTGCTGCCACAGCCCTTGTCATTGCACCAGCTGGATGGCAGTGAATCTTTTGACCACCCAACCATTAGCTTATTCTAGAATTTCACTATTACAGAGAATGAGCAGAAGGCAAAGGGAGTTCTTACTTATTTCGACTTACGTGTCAGTCACTATACCAGACACTTAACTATCTCATTTATTCTTTTTAACAGTTATTTGTGGAACTGAGACTCAGGCTGGTTAAGTAACTTAATAATGTAAGCTAAGGTTTATTGAACTCTTACTGTGAGTCAGACACTTTGCTAAGAGCTTTTCATATAATATGTCATAGCTCATTACTCCCTTACATATGTAAGGTGCATATTACATTTCCATTCTGCATGGGGATGATATAAATTTCAGAGGATGTTGAAATAACTGTGCCCGGGGTGGCACATCAGAACTAGGAAAGGACAGACTTGAGCCCACGTGTGTCCAACTCTACTCCTCATGGTTAGTATAATGTTGGCTCCATGAGGGTGACCTTTTTTTTTTTTTTTTTTAAATTCACTTGCTTTTATTCTCTGCTGGGTCCCCAGCACATGGTTGAGATGCTTGGCATGTAGTTGGTACTCAATAAATGCCTGTTTAACGAAGCACTGAATGTTCTTATCCCTATGTAAGCACCTGGAGGTCAGATTTCTTTTACTCCCAAGTCTTTGTTTTTAATGCTGTGTCCTTGCCTCAGGTATGGGTGAGTAGAAGATATATTTACATATAAATATAAATATTCATTTATAAATTTGTGTGTGAGATATTTTTTTCCTTTTGGCTTATTTTGTTAGGATACATTCTGAGAAATCTACTGGAGGAAAGTATAGAAACATTTCATAAGTTCTTAAAAATATATTTAAGTATTTTTGATGATTAAGTCAGTGTGTCTTGTTACTAGATATGCAAAAATAGTCTAGTTTCCCTGTTACCTTGCCAGCACTATTAAAAAAAAATTCTTTACTAATATTATATACAAGTACATTGCTACCTCCATATTTTAGCTTGATTCCATTGCATTATTTGCTTTGGGATCATTTATATGCATTATCTGCATAGCAAGATACCATGTTTGCTTTGAAGCTGGGTGCTGCTAACTCCCAAACATGAATGTGTTTCAGGTCCCAAGCCAGTGGTGTTCCTGCAGCATGGCTTGCTGGCAGATTCAAGTAACTGGGTCACAAACCTGTCCAACAGCAGCCTGGGCTTCATCCTGGCAGATGCTGGTTTTGACGTGTGGCTGGGGAACAGCCGGGGGAACACCTGGTCTCGGAAACACAAGACCTATTCAGTTTCACAGGATGAATACTGGGCCTTCAGGTATATTTGATTTGATTACGACAGGGGTCTAGTTCCTTAGCACTCTTAACACAGACACGCGGGGGAGGCAGGCAGATGGGGGACTCCAGGCCACATGAGAGGAAACTGACAGATCATGAAAGATTTTAAACCTTTTTAGGAATTTGACAAATAGCAGGGAGGTAAATTTTAAGTAAATGAATACACTTAAGATTTAGATTCAATTAGGAGTTTTTTAAAAATGATTTTGTTTACTTATTTATTTTTAGAAAGGGGAAGGGAGGGAGAAAGCGAGGGAGAGAAACGGCAGTGTGTGGTTGGCTTTCACGTGCCCCCTAGTGGGGGCCTGGCCTGCAGCCCAGGCATGTGCCCTGACTGGGAATCGAACCAGTGACCCTTTGATTTGCAGGCTGGCACTCAATCCACTGAGCCACACCAGCCAGGGCTATTAGGAATTTTTTAGTTATTTTGCCATTCCTGGTGCTGTGGGAACTGCTGGGTACGTTATGTCCTGTGATCTTCTCCCTTCCTTTATAAACACACATTCCAATGTCCACTACTCTATATCTAGAAAATTTCCTCTTCTCTCTTTTGCTTCTGGCTCTACCAGTTAATCACTGTGTGGCACTGGGCATGTCACGTAAGCCCTTTGTGCCTCAGTTTTCTTCATGTAAAATGGGGATAATAAATTCCTATCTCATAAGGTTATTGGGGGATTAAAAGAGGGGATACAGGGAAGGAACCTGGTACACCCATCATAAGTGGTGGCAACAATTGGCTCACCGCTCTCCTGATGACAATACGCTCTCATGCGCGCAGGTCCAGGGCTCTGTCTGGACACCAGGTACAGAGACGATCAGGCTATGGATCCTCCAGGCTTGCTTTGTAGTCATAAAACCAGAGCCCACCTAAGGACATGAAATGCAAGAACAAGCGCTTTTACCAATGACGTGTACAACAACTATTTGTAATAGTGAAAAATTGGAAACCACCAAATGTCCATTAGCAATGAATGGGCAAATTAAGTGTGGTATATTTATACAACGGACAACCTACAACTGTGTGCGACAGTTCGGATGTAGCCTAATACAGAAGAATACATACTGTTTGATCCAGTTTCTACAAAAGTTTAAAAATGGGTAGAACTAATTTATGGTGTAAATTGTGACCCGAAGGGGTCCCTGGGGGCTTCTGAAGTCCTGGCAACTCTCTTTCCTGCACTCAGTCATGGTTTACGCCGCTGTGTTCAGTCTGTGACAAGTGATCAAACTACATGCTTACTATTTGTGTGCTGTTGTATTTATATGCAATGTCTCAGTGAAAGCGTTCCATTTTTGGCTTACAGCTATGACGAGATGGCACATTATGACCTACCAGCTTCAATTAACTTTGTTCTGAAAAAAACTGGCCAAGAACAAGTGTATTATGTGGGTCATTCTCAAGGCACTACGATAGGTATGTATGAAATAAAGATTGGAAGTTGATATAATGTATTGCACAGTTTGCATTTGTTCTGAAAATTAGAAACAATATTTGCTTTAATAGACTTTTATTATTGTTATTATTACTGTTATTACCAAACAAAAATAATGACTAGAGCAAAGGCAAAAAAATTTTGGTAATATTTCATCTTCTCTGGAAATTCAGACTCTAATATAACTGGATAAACATGTGGTATGGTTCTCTTGAATTTAAAGGAATTAATGTAAGCCACAGCCCATTACGTATTTTTCTCATTAAGCAGTATGGGGATGTGAGAGGGTAGAAAACAAGTTTTGAAAGTGCAGAGACTTTTAAAAAGAAAACAAGAAAGTATACTAACTTGTAAGTGGAATGAAACTAACTACAAAGATGCCATGTTACACTTTCTTTATAGTTTTTAAAAGTTACATGCAGTTTTTCTTTATGCTGATTGTAAAAGTAATGTGTATTCATTGTAAATAAAAATAGAAAATTAGCAAAGTTTAAAGAAAATAAAAATTGCCCATAATTCTAGCAAACAAACGTCCCTCTGAGTAGGGACTAGGAACCTGTCCCATAATTTAAAGAATTCCCCTTTTCAGCATTTAAAATTTTTACTTATTTATGTTTTGAGAGAGGGGAAGGGAGGCAAAAAGAGAGAGAGAGAGAAACATCAGTGTGAGAGAGAAATATTGATTGGTTGCTTCTTCTGCGCGCCCCTACCAGGGGCCAAGCCCACAAACTGCCCTGACTGGGAATTGAACTGCTTTGTGGAACGATGCCTAACCAACGAAGCCACACTGGTCAGGTCTTAGTGTTTAGTATGACCAGTGTCTTTGTGTTCATATCACATGGTCTCATTAGAATACATTCCTAGAAGGAAGGTACGAATGCTTTCAAGTGTCTTGATGTATAATTAAATTGCCTCACCCACACTACCATCAAACACCCTTTGTCAGTTTGAGAGACCACACACACACACACACACACACACACACACACACAAAATTGGATACATTTTGCCATTATTATTCGTTAAGTTAAGCATTGTTCTTCATTTATATTTCTTTTTCTGTGACTTGTCTACTGAATGTCCTTTGCCCCACCCACCACTCAAGTTTAAGGCTAGCAGTAACCCAAGAGGAAACTAGGAGCTACTTTAATGCTAGGGCACTCTAAATGTGTAAGTCTTTTCTGAATTATTGGTGATGGATTCAAATGCCTGTATAGATTGTTCTTAGGGATTATGGAGGGTCACTGGTGGATGGGGGTGACGGGGTCCCAGCTGTTAGGAATACAGCATTTCCTTAGCTTGGTTTACATTATTAGAGGAACAGGAAACATGTTCTGGTTTAAGCAACCTAGATTTCTTCCAGCGAATATCTAGTTGAAATATTGAAACAAGCAGTTGACAATATTTGAGGCGCTTGCTTGCATGTTTCTCAGGTTGCCACTAAAGGGCGTGACAGCCCTTGCCTTTTCAGAGAAAATTCCTTCCGGAAGATCAAAATCCTCTTATTTTCTTTTTGTCCCACAGGTTTTATAGCATTTTCACGGATCCCAGAGCTGGCCAAAAAGATTAAAATGTTTTTTGCCTTGGCTCCTGTGGCTTCAGTCAAGTTCTGTACTAGCCCTCTAGCTAAATTTGCACGATTTCCAGATCTTCTCTTTAAGGTATTTAACCCATCCCAACCCCAATTTTCTTTTCAGATCTGAAGAACTGGTCATTAGAAGGAGAATCTGCTTTTCTCCTCTGCGTTTTGCTATCAGTGGAAAATGGGATTTCTTCTCTCCACGGTTTTTCTTATCTCCCCTTCACCCCTACCTCCAGATCCTGGGGAGTCAGGGAGGGTGCAAAACTCCACCAGTTACACAAAGAGAACACAAGGAAGTCTGGGAGAAGGCAGCTTAAACTTTTTGGGAGTTGTCTTTTATTCTACGCAGTGAGTGGTGCGTAGGAGTGGGCGGGAGATGGGAGAGGGAAATGCACTGTTCCCACGTGTCTGACCTGACCACACTGAGGATGACCTAAAGATGCTGTTGCTCGTATAGTTTATAATGTGGCCCCGAAACACAAGCCAGTAACTGCATGGGGTCTTAGCCCTGGAGCTGTGTGACTCCCAGGCACTGTTCAAGGAGGAAGCCATTTTTATGAGAAGGAGTTGAGAGCTAACTGAGGCCAGGTGGCCCACTATGCATGTGCTATGTAGGTTTTATGCAATTACTACGTAGGTTTTATGTATGACATTTTTATACAGACAGATATTAAGTCCCATTTAGGAATATACACATATAGTTAAAATCTGGTATGACGTATCTACTGGCCATTTACTTCCACAAGAAATACAGACTGTACTCTGAGCTTAGGATCTGACTCTGACCTGAGATGGGATTCTCTGCGTAGGTGACTAGACATGCAGATAAGGTGTGACTCCCTCAAACCAAATTAACTTGTGTGCCTTTGGTAATAGAAACATCAATTTTCATGATAAACAATTCAGAAATTACAAATAAAGAACTCTTTAACTACCTGAGCTTCTCTTAGCGCTTTCCTCATAATTAAGCGCAGTGCTCACTGTAGGGTCTTTTCCTATAGACCTTGTGTGTGAATTTCCGGCGAGAAATATAATGTCTTGTTTTAATGTAGACAGTATTCAACTGTGTATATTTTCTGCAGATTACATTTTTCACTCTTGAAGAACTGTTATGTTAATACATAAAGCTGCATCACACTGTTTTTAACTGCTGCATTAGTAAGTTTTCCATTGTAAAGAACTACTGCTCATTAAACCAGATGCCTATGGTGGATATTTAGGTTCTTGCTAATTTGCTGTTGCTTCATCCTTGTGCCTCTTTTTTATGGAGAACTGAAATTGCTGTGTCATAGGAATGTTTTCAGTTTAATTTCACCTTTGGGGATTGTGATTTAGTAGCTTTGTAAACATACGAATTCCCCGTTCCACCCCCCACCTTGGAGATGGGGTTTGTTAAATGTGGAGTGGGGTCCAGGATCTGAGGTTTTACCAAGTACCCTACGTGATTCTAATGTAGGCCAAACAGACTGATATTTAGGAATTACTGTTCCAGACGTGGGTATTTTCTGATATCCTGGGAGTGTAGCAAAGTGAAAGAAAACCTTGCTTTTCGAGGTTATGTTCACAAAACCTTGGAATTTGCTGCTCCTGGATGTATATGTTGCTTCCATGACAGTTGAGTATCACAACTCTCAGAATGCAACGGTATATATTATAAGACATCAACATTGACATGAGCAGGCCTGTAAATGTAAGGTGAACTTTTCTTTTTCTGTGATGCTATCCTGCTTTAACTTAATGATCAGCAGTGTTTGCCACAGTAGTGTTTTGGTTACAGTTTTAATTATAAGACAACTTCACATCCTTTGTCAGTCAGAAGGAAAGCTTGGTTTGCTGTGATTTAAGTCAGTGATCCTATTAACTTGCTTTTAGTAGATAACCTCAAAAATATATGCATTTATCACATGTGACTATTAGTTAGACTCAAAACCAAGATTTTCAGAAACCGATGCCTTTTCATGACCTGTCATTTGTCTCAGCATGTGGCAGTTAGTGCCTGATTCTCCGTGGCTAATGTTAGTGTGAATAATCTGGAGAAAAAGAGCATTCTTGGAGACCTGGTACCCATCTTTAGAGAGTCATTGGTTGCCTTGTAGAGGACACATCACAGTCTGTGATAGACCACATTTGCCCCAAGAGTGTTGAATATGGCTCATGCAATGTGTTAGTTAAATTGTGCCTTTTTTTTACAGAGCAGGATATTTAACATGAAATCCTGATAATTGATTTTTGGGGGGTGGGGGGTGGGGATGAAGCTGTGTACCACAGAGCAGTTGCATTAGGCTGAGCATAAGCTTTCCAGTTCACCAGTTCTCAGTGTTCCCTGATTCTGAGTCTGGTCAGGGTGGCTTTTTCATGTGCTGTTTGCTGTTTTGTCATTTACATTTACATGCCTGCCTGTCTTAGTTTGTTAGGACTGTGAAGAGGAATCTGTCCGTGACTCTCCCCTAGCTTCTGGTGGCTTGTGTGGTGTGTTCTGGCTTGCAGAAACGTGACCCCAATTTTTGCCTTTTATCTTCACATGGTGTTTTCCCTGTGTGTGTTCGGCTCTCCCTGTGTTGGTCTCTGTGTCCAAAATTCCCCTTTCTATCAGATCACTAGTCATATTGCCTAGAACACACTCTAAAAACCTCACGTTAGCCTGAATTATCTCTGTAAAGACCCTGTCTCCAAAGAATGTCACATGCCAAGATACTGGGGATTAGGACTTCAACGTATCTTTTTGGGGGCGGGGCCCGGTTCAATCCATAAAGCTGCCTTTGTGGGCATTTGAATTTTTCCCTCCTGCTTGTCCTTCTAGAGGGCTGGCATCAGCAAAAAAAATGTAAGCTGTCAGGGGACAAATTTGGGTACAATGGAGGGAAGATCTTTTTCTTATTTCCTTCTATAGAAGTAAATGGAGATCTGCCTTGAAGTCGCAGTGAGGGCCCCGGTTCAGGACTGGAGTGCGCGTTCAGTGACCGTTGGTCAGCACTGAGGTAGACCAGCCGTTGGCAAACGTTTTCTGTGAAGGTCCTGATAGTAAATATTTTTGGCTTTGTGGGCCACATGGTCTCTGTTACAACTACTCATCTTTGCCCCTGCAGTGTAAAAGCAGGCAGTGTACAAAGAAATGAGTGCGACTGTGTCCCAATAAACTTTATTTACAAAAGCAGGCAGTGCTGGCAGAGGAGGAATGGGGAGTTACTGTTTCACGGGAACAGGGCTTCAGCTGAAGATGTTGAGAGAGTTCTGGAGCTGGGATGTGGCACTGGTCGTACAATGTGGCTGTACTTGATGCCACTGAATGGAGTGCGTGACAATGGTAAATTTTGTGTTACGTGTGTTCTTCCACAATAAAAAAAAAAAAAGTATGAAAACAATAGGCAGTAGGCAGAGTTTGGCTCACTGGCCAGTAGAATCAAATTAGATGTTCGTGCCCTAGGCAGACGCATTGCTGACCAGTCACTGTTTCTACCCTTTCTCAGAATCACTACCAACCCACCACAGTCGAGTAAAACTCCTTGGGGATTGTCCTGGGATGAGTGGTCTTTAAGGCCCTTTTCCACTATAAAAGCTGGTGGGAATTTACTTGATTTTCTGCCTCCTTTTCTTTATTGGAAACTTGAAACACGCATGTGTGACATCTGCTGGTGCCTTACTAACCACATTGCATAAGTACTGTAGTTGGAATGTCCGCCGGTTTTCGCTTCTCTCCTGAGGCCATCTGTCGCTTCTGAGGGGAGTCCTGGGGGCCCGTGTGTCAGGGTGAAATGCAGAGATATTCTTGGGTTTCTTTTTACCTTGCAGGATTTATTCGGAGTCAAAGAATTTCTTCCCCAGAGTGCATTTTTGAAGTGGCTGAGTGTTCATGTTTGCAGTCATGTTGTTCTGAAGGAGCTTTGTGGAAATATCCTTTTTGTTCTATGTGGATTCAATGAGAGGAACTTAAATATGGTATGTATGGTCATAGTAAGACTTGCTTTAAACGTTCAGTGCTTTTATTTTATCTGTGAATGTGGTTATTAGTGTTGGAGGATGCTGGAGAGGTAGGAATGGCATCGCTAGAGCTCTGATGGGTCTCTCATTTAAGAGGCATGAGAATCGACTTCAGCGAGTGCCTGGAACACCATCTGCTGCTCTCCTCAGGCCACGGTCACTTCCTACGTTGTCTCTGCACAGGCACTACCGAATGGGGAGATCGCTCGTCACTTAGGTCTCGATACTTCCATGTATTCCAGTTATTTGTTTCTTTTACAAATTATTATAATTGTTTAACTTTGGAATCATTTATTTATTTTAGAAAATGTAAATTCTTGGCCAACAATATGCTAGTGTTTCTGAATCTATTTGTAGTTTGTAATATTGCCTATTGAAAGTAGGTTTTAATGTTCTGGAAGGTTCTAGGCAGTGTTTTAAAAGTGATAATAATTTTTCTTGTTTCTGATGATAAAGGTAAGGTATAATTGTTACATAAAATTTTGGAAATTCAGAAAAGCATGAAAAAGAGAATAAAAATGAGCAGTAATCTCAGCCCCTATAGTTACCGTGTTGCTCTCTGTGTGTGTGTGTTTGTTCCAATTTTTATAGGACATATTTTTTGTCAAATAATTCTTTCCTGCCCTTCGTCTCATATATTTGAGATTGTAGCTTTCTGGCTTTTAATGCTTTGAAGTGGGAAATTTGTATATTATCAATGCCTCCTTAACACTATTTTTTAATTCTTTATTTTGACACTTTTTTTTCTTCAGTCTAGAGTGGCTGTGTATATAACACACTCTCCTGCTGGGACTTCTGTGCAAAATATGATACACTGGAGCCAGGTAGGCATTTGGGAGTGCAGGTGGGATTTGTGTCAAATCAGCGTTAGAATGATCTCTGCATCTCATGAAGCACCTGTTTGCAAGCCTTTTCCAAATAGAAAGACAGCCTGTTTATGAAGCTGAGCAGATGTCCTTCCCCAGAGTCGTGGATCCTTGCCTTTGTGTATGTGTGTTGCTTTTGTAATCCTCCCTGGGACAAATTGTACTGTATGTGTGAGCTCACCAAACAGCTGTTGGGGTTCACTTCTTTGTTTCTTTCCCCTTCTCTCCTCTCTGTCAGTTCTTCATTAAGTCCCTTATTTACTTATCTATATATTTTTTGAAAATTTTTATATATTGATTTTGGAGACTGAGGAAGGGGTGGGGGTGGAGAGAGAGAGGGAAACATTGATTTGTTGTCCCACTTATTTATGCATTCATTGGTTGATTCTTCTATGTGCCTGATTAGGGATTGAACCTGCAACCTTGGCATATCAGGATGATACTCCTAACCAACTGAGCTACCTGGCCAGGGCCTCAGATTTATTTTATTCCTGTGTTCCTTCATAAAACAAGATTTTGGAACCACTTTGGAGATAGAAGCTGCTATTTCAGCATTATCCTATGAACATAGTATGCTGAAACATCAGTGGATAAACCAGTCATGGAAGAATGGGAACCACTAACTTTTAAAATAGAGCTTGATTGTTTTATCACCTATCACAAAAGTAATGCATGTTCATTCTAGAAAATTTAGAAATTACACATATGCCAAAAATAATAAAACTCTCTTCTAAGAGTAAAAAAAATAGAATTATTCTATAATCTTACGCAGAGATAGAGAGTGTGTACCCAGAGATTTGAAATGTCTCTGCATTCTACTCTATACCTCCTGCCGCATATCATTTCAGAAAGAAGTAGTTAAAGATATAGATAGAAATAATAGTTGTACCGTAGAAATAGAATTAATTTATTTTCTTTTACTTACTCTTTTGTAACTTGCCTCTTTTTTTTAACCTAACAATATGTCAGGACCTTATTTTTGCATCAGACCCTATTTTTGTGCAATCTCTCCCCCAACATTTTAAATAAAAACCACTTACCTTTTAAGCCTCAAACCAAGATACGGTGGGTGTCCTGGATACTACTTTCCAAACATTGGGCTGTTACTGCCTGCATCAGAATCATCAGTTACTTTAAAGGTGTACTTTTAAGAAAATATTGTTTAAGAAATGTAAGGGTGTCACCAGCAGAGGGCACGCACACTGATAGAGAGTCTGGCTCCGGGAACTGCCGCCCGTCTGGCTCACGCAGCTCGGGGCTGCTGCTTTCTCCTCCTTCCAGGCTCTCCCGCAGGCCAGAGGCGAGCAGAGTGGATCTCTTTGTTCTCCAGGTTTCCCCTGGGCTGGAATTGAGTGCTCAAGTGAGACCTTAATCTTTTCTAGGAGAAGCTCAAGAAGTAATTGGCCCTTGGCTGGGTGGCTCAGTTGGTTGGTGGTTGGGGCGTCATCTCATGCACCGAAGGTTGGAGGGTTCGATTCCTGGTCAGGGCACATACCTGCCTGGATTGTGGGTTTGATCACCAGAGGGGCACGTGCCGGGGTGGGGCAACCGATGGATATTTCTCTGCCTCTTTCCCCACCCCTAAAATCAATAAACATGTCCTAGGGAGAGGATTAAAAAAAAGTGAAGGACATTCCCGTCCATCTAAGAGAGGCTTAGCCTGTCTCAAGGGGAGTTAATTGGTGGTAGAGCTGTTGGAGTAGCTGCAGTCCAGGCTTTTAAAAACAAAGGCTCCTGTGTCCCATCCCTAGAGATTCTAATTCATGTAGGCTGCAGGATCTCTGCTTTTATTTTTTTTAAAAACATCTTTATGGACATGTAAGTGGCATAGCATACAATATTCAAAGTGTTCAATTTAGTATGTTTTGATGTAGGTATATGCCCATGAAACCATCACCACAATTAAGGCAGTGAACCCATCTCCCCCCAAAGTTTTCCCGTGCCCCCTTTTAAAACCCCCCCACTTCACCCTTTTCATCACTGTCTCCAAATAACCACTGATCTGCTTTCGTTCACATAGGTTAGTTTGCATTTTCTAGAGCTTTGTATAATGATACAATATATACTTGTGCTTGTGTGACGTCTCTTACTCAGCTTAACGATTTGGAGATTCATACCGGTTGTCATGTGTATCAGTGGTTCACTCGGTTCGCTGCTGAGGGGTTAGTGTCCTTCGTCAGCTGGGAGGGCTGTAGTTCACCTCTGCCGGGGCTGGTCCCGAAGAAACTAGGCAGGACTGTGCCTGAGGCTTTTGGCCCCTTGTAGTGACCGTAAGGCCCAGTGTTAGATATCAGTGACTCAGTGCCCGTCTCCTGTGGCTTAGATGAGGGGCATTGGGAATACAGGTAGTTGATATGCTGAAGAGCTCACCCTTACCCCTCAAGAAAAGTCCTGAAACTGAAAAGTTCTCAAAATCACCGTTGTCCATTCAGGCCTCCTGCTTTTCTCCTCAGCCACATTTCTGTTCATGGTCGCTTGTTTTCTTTGTGTGCCCTATCACCAAAGCCCCCCTACCTTTTGTAAACACTTTTTACGCTCCCACCTAGTGGACACTTTTTTTAAAAGGTCCAGTACCTGTCACCTCAGGAGTTGGTGCACTTCGCGGGGAGAAGGACCGGCCAAGTGGAAGGCGGATGCGAAACTACCCAGCTTAGTGACCACAGCAGCCCATGTGTGTGCTATGCCACATGCCTCTGTAAAGTGCAGAGGACGGCCAGACCCCACCTTGCAGGGGACTTTTGAGACTGTGGCAGACAGGACTGTCAGAGGGCGCTGTTGTATACTGCAGAAGTGTTCCCTCACCGCCCCCCCACGCCCGCCCCCGCCACGGGGCAGGCCTCGACACGAGCTGGGTGTGCGGAAGAGCTCTTGGATCGGTTGCAATCCAGGCTTCTGTTTGCATCCCAGCCCCTGTAATCTAGCAGCAGGCCAAGGTCAAAGGCCGCAGACTGAGGTTCAGAGCACTGCTCTGGGGCCCCATTGTGGTTTTAGGTTCTAACCACATTGGAATGTGCCCTGTGAATGTTCCGGCATTCTGCTCCCTGTAGCGTCTTTGTTGAGAATGGTGGTTTCGTGCAGCTGTTTCACAGGGCCTTCTCTTTGGTTCGCCCCCCTCTGGGCTGGTGGCCAGGGGCTGCCGCCACTGTGCCTGTCAGGTGCTCGCTGGCTGGGGCTGCCCTGGGGCCTGCTGGGCGAGGCTTCTGCTGGAGGTGTGGCGCCTGGGCGCTGGCAGGCTAAGGGCGACCGTTCAGCTGTGAAGTTTGGGGGTTCCTGGGTAGGAGTTTGGAGGTGTCCTTTAAGGCCATTTTATTCATAGTACATTCAGAATTTTACTGTTTGTTTAAATAGTTACAATTCTAATTTTTTAAACAGTTCCAAAACCTAGTTTTTTTTACATGTAACTCTGTACATGTTTATTTTTTTGTTTCCTACTTTTAAAAAATATATTTCTTAAATTAAAATTTTTTTTCAACTACAGCATACATTCAGTTTTATTTTGTATTAGTTTCAGGTTTATAGTGTAGTGGTTAGACAGTCCAAAAACCTAGTTCTTTACTGGGCTTTTAAGTTTAGTGTACAAACCTTATTCCGTTTATAAAGCTGAAGAGTTTTAGAGACCTCCCCCTTCCCGCCCTCCCCCCGCCCCCCTGAAGCCGAGCCTCCATCAGTCCCCTTGCTGGCCGTGCCCAGGGCCCGGGTCCCCACTCCCATGGGAAGGAGGCTGACCCTAACCTACTGTTCCCATGTTGTTCAGAAATATTTAGGATGCTATAAAAAATTCAGGTTCTTGGGCCTACCCATGACCTGTGGAGAGTTCAGATTCCTGGAGGTATGTTCCTGGGATCTCCATGCTAAGAAGTCCCTCATATGATTCTGATGTTCTCTGTTGTTTGAAGCCTACTGCCAAAAAAACACAACGCCCCCCCCCCCCCCCCCCCCCCAAAGAACAGTGTACATCAGATAGGCTCTTTAAACCATTATAAAACAACATTTAGCATAATTTTTATTATACATGTAATACGCGTCCATTATGAAGTTTAAAAATACATGATTACAAAGAAGAAAATAAATCCCCCATGTGTCTACTACCAGGGATAACTACTATTGGTGTGTTGGTATTGTAGAGGAAGTTAAAATTTTCCTTTACCCCTCTTAGGATATCTGTCTGGGACTGACATAAGACATTAACAGGAGAAAAACACATGAATTTTATTTCTATGTGCATAGGAGCTCTTAGAAGAAAAGGGAAGACTCAAAGAAGTGACTAGACCTAAGAGCTTATATACTAGGTTGAACAAAGAGTAGCAACCATACAAAAGTAACTAAAATAAAGGAGATAAGAGTTATTTTAACCAGGTCTTTTTGTACAATTTCTCTAGGCCTCCCCCCGTCTCTGGTGATAAGAACATTTCTTCCTTCTGGTACAGGGATGGTTTCTTTCACTTGGGAATTTTATATCTCGCTTTTAGAGAGAAAATGGAAGGTCAGAGTACCCTCCTTGCAGCTGCTGTTTTGCAGGTGCCTTTAAATCAATAATTAAAATGGCCTAAGCAGCATATTTTGGTGGCATGTCCTGAAATCTCTCAGTGTCAGATTACATTTTTTTGGTATAATTGTTTTCATTACAAAGGTACAATCATACTATGTGCACATTTTGGTAGTAACATTTAAAAAAATAATTAAATAGCATATTATTTCTAAGATGCTGAATCAGAGACGCCAAAACGCAGCTTCCAGTTTGTCTTACGATACAGTCCAGGCATCAGCGGCACCGGATTGTGGTGGAGGGGGTGTGACGAAGCTCCCGGAAGCCACACGTGGCCCCAGTTCCCTCGGCGCTGGGGCTCTGCCGTCCCTGGCACACTGTCCTCTTCTATCTGAGCGAGACTGGGTGGCCTCCATGTATGTTCCAGCCACAGGATGGAAGCACATAAGGGATGTGGTTCTTAACCCTGGCAGCCATGTGCTTAGCGAAAGCTTCAGGGATTAAGGAAGATGGCAAGCATGGGCAATTAGCGTCTCTGTTGTAATCAAAAATGCATTTCCAGGCCAATAGCTAAATTGTAAAATATTTGTAACTGAGGACAGTTTTTCTTTGCTTGAACTATTATTATTAATGTTATAGTTATTATTGTTACTGCTATTTTTTCTATGATAGCTTTTTTTCTTTTTGTAATAGTAAACATTCTTGGACAAATATTCTTGAGTTAAAGATCTTTTCTTATACAGTAAATTATTTTATTGGGTACAGTTGTAGAAGTAGACTCAGTGGTGAGAGGGTATGCATAATTTTAAGACTTCTGATACATATTGTACTTTAGAAAAGTTGAACCTATTGACATTTTTATTACCATTCAAGATGTAAAAATAATTTTTAAAATGATACTTAAAAAAACAACTATCCTAATAGCCTAATAGTATATTTTCTCCTGATCTTTGGCCACATATGATTATCATGTAAGTGTAACCATAGAACTTGTTCACTTTCATTTTCTTTTCCCCCACATAATGTTATTTATAAACATTATTCTTACTTCTCTTCCTATGTTATTATATTTATGAAAGTCGCATATCGATGTAACGATGTATTTAACCAAATATCTACTATTGGACTTTAGCTTATTGCCCTGTTTTTGTGACTATAAATAATCATCTTCACATTTCCGTCCTTCAGAGATTCCCTTTCAAGTGGCGATGACCCTGAGCACAAGAGTCAAGTTTAGAAGTTCAGTCTGATCCCTAGGCAGGCTTTTCCAGTGTATTCCGTGCTCACATTGGGTGCTTTAATAAATGCTGAAAGACATGTGAGAAAGTGATAAACTGTCAACAGTGGCAGAATAGCTTGCACTGACAACTAGAGCTAGAGCACAGATGAACTAACAGATGCTGCAAATCCGTGTTTTGTTCTGCTTGCCAGATATGCCGCAGGTATTTTGCCGTCATTTGCAACGGCAAAAGCAGATGCTAATGTTTCTCCTGCAGAAATCCCTGTAGTGTCACATCTCACACTGCCTTTTATTACATCAAACAGTAGAATTTTATGCAATTGATAAGAATTGAAACCTCACATAAATCAAAAGCAGTTGAGACAAGGAATGTCGAGGTTTTTCCTCTTTACCAGACGCCACCCTCTGGCCAAAGTTGGAACAGTTTCCAATTCATTTGGCTTGCCAATTTTGGATTTCATCCTTGGCATTTTTAATTTGCGGATATAGAGGAGGTATGAATTTGCATCACTTTAAATTTAAAAACTAAGTGTCTTTTGTTAATACTTTTACATTACACTACCTATGCATAAGTTTAAATTTTTTATACAATATTATTTCATGACTGGAATCCTCAACTAGTTAGAACTGTGCTGGTGTGCAGTACAATTTGGTGATTATGCTGATACTGGTACTCAAGAAAAAGTGCCAAATCAATAAAATCATTAAAATATTAAATAATATAAGTAGTCAAGTAGAGGATATATAGAAAATATGTAGATTATATATAAGCATATGTAACTGTTAATCCATATATAGGTAGAAAATGTTTATATTAATCCATATAAATATGTGATATATAATTAATATTAATAGTATAATATAAATATTTTATTAATCCATATAAATATCTATTAATCCACATAAATATATGTTAATCAATATATTATATGTAATATATATATTTCCCAAATAAGACAGTTTACTCTTTGAAAAGTTTGACTACATTTCAGTTAAAGAATGTCAGCATAAAGTTTTTCCAATGGGCATAACTATTGCTGTAGTATAAGATGAGGAAAAAGTAGGTTTAGGGTTGTTAGTATGGAAAATAACACAATAATTAATAAATAATAGTACAAGAATAAAACTCTGTGTTTTGCTTACTCACAACTGCAAACCTACTTTCACTCTACCCTGAATAATTCACAGTGTGTGTATAGCTGCTTTATTGGGTCATGCAATAGTTACTTTCCAATCATACAGTGAGAAACTGAGTCATTTAATAAAGGAGGCCAAAATAATGCCATTTATTTTAAATTACAGTTTGGAAATGAAAAGTAAATCTGGGTATTGGTGTAAAATTGATTTCTAAGGATGTGGGTAACTCTAGCAACCTGTGATGTTATCTCAAACATCTATGCCAGATAACTTTTTTCCAAATTATCTTCTTTTCAGAATGTTAAATTGCATAAGTTTCAAGCCTTTGACTGGGGGAGCAGTGCCAAGAATTATTTTCATTACAACCAGGTAAAGTCTTCAACGTTTTTAGACATGATGGGCCCTGAAAACTCATCCCAGAAGGCAGTTACCAGGGTTCTGGCTGGGCTCAGGTGCTGAGGAAAGGTTTGGGAGAGTTGAATAGATGGCGTTTCCATTCCAGCGCAGCCTGAGCTTTGTGGTTAGTGTTGTGGACCGAGCCTTCCCTCTTTGTTCTTTCCTGGGCCCTGAGTACCAGCTGTCACTGTCACTGTTATATGGGACACACAGTGATCAGGAACACAGACTTGAGAGTCAGACAAGCCTAGATCTGTCATCTGGTAGCTGGAGGGCCGTGGCCAGAGTACACTGCCTAAGCCTTTTCTTCTGTATACCAATGAATTTACCATTTTCGAGTGCTAAGTACTCTGAAGTGTAAGGCACTTTGCCATGTTTTATTTAATTTTTACAACTTCCCTGTGATGATGATAATGATTACTATTATTAAAGATGAGGAAACTGAGGCTTAGAAAACTTCTGTGACTTGTGTTGTTCCCCAGAGGGAGGGATAGGAGGAAGGTATGGACTCCTCCATTGCCTCTTCCCAACTACTTGGTTCTGTTGCTTTGAATCAGCTACCTGGGAGTAGACCTTCCTTCCCGGGCATTTAAACAACTTGTTACCATACCAACTGTGTTACTATAGTAACTGTTCTTTCATTGTGGTATAGGTTTCTTTTTGTGCCGGCAATAGTGATGTGAAAAGTAAACTGAGAGTGATTTTCAAAATTTAGTCTTTTATTCTCAATGAATTAATCATTGTTTAATGGAGATTGTCGATTGCGTGTTTGTATATTAAAACAACCACAACAAACTTTTCTGTGGGTTTTTCTTATAGACTCACCCTCCTGCTTACAATGTGAAAGACATGCCTGTGCCGACTGCCGTTTGGAGTGGGGGTCGGGACTTGCTCGCGGACACCAGGGACATCAGTGTCTTACTGACTGAGATCACCAACTTGGTGTACCACGAGTACATCCCAGAGTGGAATCATCTCGACTTTATCTGGGGCTTGGATGCCCCTTGGCGGCTCTATAATGAAATGGTGGACCTCATGAGGAAGTACCAGTGAAAGGCAGGTGGAGACATTTGTCATCGCCAAGTCAGTGATCGAATCATGCCCACGATCCGTTGGCTCCATTTTTCTAAAGTACTTCTTTTTCCTTCCCAGGCCTTTTATATTTTTATATCCAAGAAAATTATGATGTGGAAGATGACCAGTTCCTTCCAGTTAGGGTTAGAAACGCATTCGCTTTTTTTTTTGTTATTTAATCATGGCCAAATGTGCAGCTGGTGTCCTAACCATGGTGTAGTTTCTTTGAGTCTTCTAAAAATATCACTGATTTGTGAAAGGTCGTAACCCTTCTGCTTATCCATACAAGTTAAAATGTACCGTATTTCTTTTTTTACCCTCACAGAGCACACATCGACACCTGTCTTGTAACTTTTAGACTGTGCTGTTCATTGTTAAATAATCTGACACTGATTTGAGGAAAACTCAGTGGATAAGCACCCAGTTCTCATCTCTTGGCCCTGAGAGGCTGTCCAGTGGAATGGCCCTGTATCTGGGGACCTGGAGGACACTTTCTCATCTCCTCATGCTGTAGAGGCCGAGTCAAATCTAGTGACACTCCCGCTGTGTCAGTTGTAAAGATGCTATAATGAACTCCAGCAAATCTATCTGTGATAGCTGTTATTTAGCAAAAGTTTAAATTGCTCAGGTGAAGCAAACTAATTTGCTGACGTCCTCAAGAACAAATGCCACTCATTAAAAAAACAACAGCTGTATTATAAATACTTGAAGATGGATACATGCAACCATGTGTGTTCATGAACTTTTAATTGTGACTCAGGTCATAAATCCACTTGTTTGAGAAGAAAAGTGCTGTGGAGAGATGATACCACTGTTTTTCCTGAAATTAATGTACTCTCTTAACCAACTGGTGTAGCTCAGTGTGTGAAGCAGAAGCCCTGAGGCTTCTCGGATCCCCGAGGAGTGTCCTAACCATTTTCACTTGAAAGAAATGTGAACGTGAATGCTTCAAGATGAGTGAACGCTTTAAGATTAAAGCTCAGGGAATCACTTTGTTTTTTAGTTTTGTATGTGCGCATGTTTTTACTACTCCTGATTTGCACCCCTGTGGCGGGAAGCCCAGGCTCACCTGCTTTTCTCACAGCCTTTTTTCCTTACAGTATTGTCAGATGGACAGAATAACCATTGATATGTTTTTCTGATATAATTAACTTTAGCTGCAATAATAAACAGTACTTGACATCGGCTAATATGTGGAGATAGCATAATACTACTTTGTAACATGTAAGAAGTCATTTAAACTTTTCAATAAAACTCAGCCTCATAGGCTTGCAGGATTGTGTGTTAATGTGTTCTTTGATTAATAGCCGTTCTCTACTTCCCTTTCTCTTTTGGTAAGACTTAGGCTTTTCTTTCTCATCTTTTCTGCCTCTTCCTGACTCCTTGTAAACCTCACTGATACTGCCTATGAACGTTTGAGCCTCTCCAATGGGGAGCAGAGGGTGGTCTCAAACCCAAGGAGCATTGGGGATAGTTTGGAAACACTGGCCTTCAACGTCATCCCTCAGGGTCCACTGAATGCGGCTGAGTGGAGACTCAGCAGTGATTACCCCCATCTGCAGGTAGTGGCCTGTTACAGGTAGGACCATGGATTCGAGGACTGTCCATCCCCCTCCCTCCATGAACAAATGAAGCAACAGAAGCTCGCAAAGACAAGTTATGGTGCAGGGGCCCCGGCACCTAGGTTTGGGGGTCTAGTGTGATCTTTCCCGCTACTCTGTGAGCTTCAGCATGGGAGCTATATCTTACCCCAAATCTTACACGCAGCTTAGACTCTAGTGAATCAATAAATGTGTGGACAGACAAAATGTGTGGAAAACAGTGGACTTAGTCATTTAGCAAAGTAAAATAAGATGACATGTAACGTCTGGGACTGCACAGAACTGAAATGGAATCTGTTTTTTCGTGGCAACCACAGAAAGGAGCAAAACTCTACTAGATATGAAGGATATACATCCTTAGCAGGACACCATTCTCGCTGGCCTCGTCCCCCACTAAAAAGAACACTTTCTTCTCCTTTGATCAAGGCAAACTGGTTTGGCCAACCAGGTACAAGATTCTTGGCTAGGGCTCTGGAGAACAAAGTTGATTTTTTAATTTCGCCATAGGAGGGCACTCGTGGCTTTCCTTCCAAACCTTTTCATAAGGAGGCTTTGTCTAGTCCCTCTGGGAAAGGCAGCGATCTGTTGTTGATTCAGGAACCAGTTTAGAATTTGAGGACTGATGAGATCCACTGTATCTGTGGTCTTTTCGAGGATTACGACTAATTCTGTCTGATGCATGTGATCTGGAAAATGTTCTCAAAGAAAAGCTGTGTCCCGAATGTGACATGAAAATAAAAATTTGCCTAATAGCGCAGTCAGAACCTCAGACAGGGAGGTTCTTGGAATGGAAATGTCTTTAACCTTAGGACTCACACTTACAAAGGTCCAAAATTGTTGATATTATTTCCAAATAATGTATTTTGTTTCTGTGGGTATTGAAAGTATTAATTTGTTCAATGTAAACATCTCAAATAACACTATAATTTTAACTCTTGTTACTTAGTTTTTAATGTATGGAGAGATTTTCAGAATGTGACCCCTGAAAGGCAACATCAGGTTGTAATAATTCTGATTTAAAAAAATCTGTTAGTAATTCATTCAAGAGTATTTATTGTATTATTCTAGGTGCAGATTGCAAGTTCCATTCCAAACTAAGCAGAAACTTCTTTCTCTGTCCACACATTTTAAATAGTACTAACACAAATATTTTGCACTTTACATTATGCCTTGTGGGTTTTTTAAGCTTTCTCATAAGGCTTTGATCTTTGCAGCAACCCCTTTGACAGATGAGGTGAGTATTTTCTCTGCCTTACAGGCAATATTATGCCTTTTAATGGAATGGTTTTTTATGCTTTAAATATTTTAAAGGGGTTGATGAGAGTTCCAATAATGTTAGTAGAAGCACCCACATATACATGACCCAGATGGATCAAAAATATGAAGAGTGTTTAAAGTCAAATATGCATCAGCACCTGTGTCTTACTCTTCATCAGCACTCCCTGTTTGGGCATGGGTAATTAACGTTTTCCAAGTCTTTTGTAAACTGTCCTGTAGATGCAACTTCAATGCCCCACCCCAGCACCACTTCTGATGCGGAGGCATCTATCTTGAAATTGACACTGACCAGGTTCGCTCTCAGTTTGGCTGTAACTTGCTATTTGACCCTGCTAGCCTTGACTTTTCTGAGGCTGTTTTCATTTTTACAACCAGAGATTAGATTATCCACTCTCTGAGTCTTAGTGTGTTATAGTTAAAGATGTTACTACACTTCTCATCTTTGATATTTGGTAATGTTTGTTTCGGTTAGATAGATGCTGATAGTCTCACCTCATTTGGGAAAGAAACAACCATGAAGGTCATACAGAAAAGAGATTATGTCATAGGTAATGCGCATTGCCAAGTACATGTTCTTTCCTATTTTTTGGCAGGGGGAGGAAGTCTTTTCTATTTTTCTGAAGTCTTATGGTGACTTGGTACCAAATAACTTTGAGATTGTGTTACGTGTGCATAGACTTAATTGTTATACTCTTGGGAAAAGTAACTTGATCCCTTGGACAGCTAGAGAAGACAGAATTCCTGTACTGTATCTTGGCGTGGTATTCCTGTCAGAAAGACCATGCCAAGATAAAAAAAAAAAAAAAAAAAGGAAGTCAAAATCAAATGGAGAAGCACGAGAAATAGCGTGACCAAAGTCCTAGTGCCGTTAGAAATATTTAAATGCCCCCTTTAGGGAAAACCATTCCAGGGGACATCACCAGTACTCAAAAAAGAAGTTCCATTTTTTAGCCTCAATTTAGAGCCAATATGTTTTAAAATGTAAATTCAGCCCACAAGTAACTTTTGAATATTCATTATGTGCAAAGTGTAATGCTTGGCACTGTGGGAAAAAAAAGTCTAGATGATAGACTCTGTGTCTAAAAAGACCTATTCATCTAGCAAGTTCAATCAATTTTGTGTCAATCAAAAATGTTTAAAGATGCACATTTGCCAGTTGAAAAAAATGACACCATGTCAGTCAAGACGAAATAGGGTTCAATTTGCCTTTTCCTGTAGCTCAGTCGGTTAGAGCATTGTCTCAATAGACCAAGTCTGTGTGTTCAATCCCTGATCAGGGCATATACAAGAATCAACCAATGAATGCATAAATAAGCGGAACAACAAATCAGTATTTCTCTCTTTTCCTTTCTCTCTCTGAAAATAAATTAAAAAATAAAACTGAATAAATAGGATTCGAGCTTATTTGGCTCTATTAAGTGATACTGTTTTGGGTCACCCAACAACTTGTGCCTACTTTTCAGCATCCTCTGTAACACTGGACAGCTGATGATATTTTAACTGACCACTTGCCCTGAGATTGTGGAACTTGTACATTGGACATAAACTTTTGTCCTGGTGGCTGCATGGGTTGGAAAGGCAGAGGAGCTGGTGCCTATTCTTCAATGTGCTGAGAGTAAGAGGGGAGAGCCTGGGTGAATCGTGCTGAAACCATGGCTTCCAGGCCTTTCTGCACGGGGCTTTATGGGGAAGATTCTAACAACTTAGCTATAGAGGATGGGAGAAGCAAAGAAGGAAAAGAATAGGTTGGTTGGGGCTGGGAGCTCAAAGGCGTCAGTCCTAACAGCAATGAAATAGCTAAGTCTGAATTAAGCAAACCTGCCAATGCAACCCACTTAAAATCTGTGTGAACATCTAAAACAAGCATGCCTGGTAGCTGAAACCACACAAAAAGGACAGCATGTGCCAGCAGATACTTGAAGACTTAATTTCTGTCGAGGGCAAATCTGAGTGATATTTTACTTCTGAACAGTTCAATTGTAAGTGTGAGAAAGTGAGCTTTGATGGTTCTTTTGGAGGACTGAGGAGCCCAGGAATGAAAACTTAGTAAACGGCATATCCTATATTCAGTAGTGTGAGGTCATTCTCAAATAAACCTTTTTATTTTTAAAAAATCATATAAAAAGGAGCAAAAGAGAAGGGACTCTTCCTCTTCTCTCTGAGATGCTGCTTGAGCAATGCAAAATTCAAGCGCAAGGTGATACCTACCAGGGATGGAAAAGAAGAATGATCCTGGGTTGCACTAAAAGTGAATTGGAGGAGGGAGAAGATTGAAGAAGAGACTAGAAATGACAACTTTTCTAACCTGAAAAAAACCCACAAGCAGGAGTTGAAGGGCCTGCATTGTAACTGTCCCTGCTACCATCCAGATACCTAAAACATGAGCAAACTCCACTTCCTTCCCTTTTTGGCATTGGCTGTCAAGAAGCTCAAAGCTGCTTCTGAACCTTTATCTCATTAAGACACAAGAAGGATATCAATGTAATCTTAGGACATACTGAGGGTTTTTTGTTTTTGTTTTTAAGTCTGCAGTAGAGCCAGAGACTTGGGGTTCAGAGAACAGGCATCTAAGGAATATCCATAATCTATTAGTGGTAGTTCTGGGAAACACACTAATTGGGAGTTTCTGAATTATGAATTGGCCTATTATGGGGGGTGTGTGTGTGTGTGTAACATCCTATATATCCCATATATATCTTACATGTTATATATTAATATATAATTATGTATTATAAATTGGCCTATTATATTCCATGTGTATAATATGCAGATGTATGTACTGTATATGTACAGATCCTATATATTGTTTTATTTCTAGGCCGATATGTTGGTCTATTTTTTTGTTGTTTTTATTCTTTTCTCACAATACATGACTTTCTTTTTCTTCTCTTTACATAATTTTAGTTGATTTTAATTGCAAACTTCATTATTCTTTATATAAAATGTGAAGCGTAAATTTAAAATAATGTGCCTTATTTTGTAGGTTTACTGTGTGCCAGGCACTATGGTTTTACATGTGTAAGATCACAGTTGTAACAACAATGCCTACTTCCACGGATTGGGTGAAATCGCTTTAAGTAAAACATTTAGCTGATGCCTTGCAGACACCATGTGATAGCTTTATTATTATTACTATAATTTTCCTATTTAATGCTCGAAATAGATTCATGAGATAGCTATTATTTATTTCCTTTGGGGTGGGTGGGGAGTTTGGAGAAGTGAAGTACTGGCTCCAACCTCACAGACACAAGAGACAAAGTTGGTGTCCATGGCTTCCAAGTTTTTGTCCAAACCTATTCTCTAGGCGTTCCTTGCATTGCATGTTGGCCACCCGGGTCAAATGCCGGCTCCCCTCCTCCCACGTTTCTGCAGGTCTAGGGGGGCTCCCCAGAGCTCTCCTAGTACCGACCTCCTCACGCTCAGTCTCCGGCCAGTCAGCCGCACTTAGGCAGCGGAGAAACTCAAGGATAGAGCCGGCCTTGCAGTCTGGCTCTGCACCTGGGATGGTTTGCGGGAGTGGCGGGGGCGGGGTGGGGGGCAGGGGTGGGGAGTGGAAGGGCAAGTGGACGCCGCCAGGCCACCCCAGGGAAGGGCAGGGTAAGCGCGACATCATTTCTGCAACCAACAGCTCCATGAGGCTTCAGGAACACGCCGATATCCCCTTAAGGAACAAAGTAGGTGCTTGACCGATTTCATTGCTTCCTGAGATGCTGCGCCTTTTCAGCCAGATGTGGGCCGACGCTAGATGTTAAACCCAGAACTGTTTGTTGCTGTTGTTGTCGCTAAAGTGAAGCCTAACAGTCGCCATGGAGTCTGATCTTTTGCCGTGGAGTCTGGAGCAGTCTTGTCGCCAGTCTGCGAGCTTGATAGCGCCACGAGGGACAAGGGACAATTGGCGGCGCGGGTTTGCGCGCTCCCCGGGCGGGTCTGTGTGAGGTGGGATCTGGAGCTTGTGGCGAACCTGCCGGGAGAGCTCCCCTCCGGAGGCGGGAGCTGGAGAGGTTCGGGTCCGGCCACCTGGTCTTCTCCGATTTCAAGCGCTGATCGCAGCGGCGCGTGGCTGGGGACCCGCGATCCCCTCTGAGAAAGGTCAGTGTGCCCCTGGTTTCTGGTTAAATGCATACAAGGTGGGCAGACAGAAAAAGATCCGAAATACACAAGTCAAGTCACTTTAAAAAGTTTTTAAAAATGGAGTTATACTTGCGTTTTTATGAATACACATAGACGGGATTATTTGTGTGCATTTAAAAATACAAGTAATTCTGCCCTGATTGAAAGGAGCCCCTTCTGGCGGAAATGGACATATTCCCTACCTTGTGTGGGGGCGGTGATGACAGATGAATTGAGTTGTCTAAACTCGTAGAAACTCTCAAGATCTATGCATTTCATCGTTTGTAAGTTGTACGTCAATTTTAAAAAGCAGAACATAATTCTACATGCACATGAAGTTAGTAAGTGCCATTCTTATTGCATATATAAAAGCCCATTAAATGCAGCTGCAGATGTGTATTTTAGCAACTCTGCACCTCTGGGGGATTATTCATTGCTCGGCAGCGCAGCCGGGATGGCGAGCCGAAAGGCAGCTGGCGTCATTCAGGGCGGGGCCACGTCCTAAATAAAGTCGGTGTGGCGCGAGGATCGGCAGCGGCTGCCGTCAACAGCCTCGCCATGAGCGGCCACAACATTTCCGAGTCCCACGTCCTGTGTCACTCCGGCCAGCTGTTTCTGCAGCCCGTCTGGGACCGCCTGAGGAGCCGGGAAGCCTTCACCCAGTCTCCCTTCTTCCCGGTCATCTTCTCCATCACCACCTACGTGGGCTGCTGCCTGCCCTTCGCGATTCTGGACGTCCTGTGCCCCTGGGTGCCCGCGCTGCGGGGCTACAAGATCCAGCCCGACTTCTCGCCAACGGCGCGGCAGCTGCTGCCTTGCCTGGGGCAGACGCTCTACCAACACCTGGTGTTCGTGTTCCCTGCGACGCTGCTGCACTGGGCCAGTGGCCCGGCTCTCCTGCCCCCTGACGCCCCCGAGCTGCTTCAGCTGGTGACCCACGTCGTGTTGTGCCTGCTGCTCTTCGACGCTGAGTTCTTCGTGTGGCACGTGCTGCACCACAAGGTGCCTTGGCTGTACCGGACCTTTCACAAGATGCACCACAAGAACTCGCCCTCGTTCGCGCTGGCCACGCAGTACATGAGCTCCTGGGAGCTGTTTTCCTTGGGCTTCTTTGACATGGTGAACATCACGCTGCTCCAGTGTCACCCGCTTACCGTCATGGTCTTCCATGTGGTCAACATCTGGCTGTCAGTGGAGGACCATTCAGGGTATGAATTTCCCTGGTCCACGCATAAGCTGGTACCTTTTGGCTGGTACGGGGGCGTGGCGCACCACGACTTGCATCACTCTCAGTTTAACTGCAACTTCGCCCCGTACTTCACACACTGGGACAGATTGCTGGGGACTCTGCAGCCTGCTCATGCCAAGTGACGTGCGTCCGTCCCGGTGTGGTGGTGGCCCCTCAGAGCCAGGACTGCTGTGCGTTTCACACTTGAATGAGAAGAAACACATCTGCCTATTTTATTTTTATGTTTTTAGTAAGTAATTTATTACTTGATGGAAATTTATAGATAAAATCTGATGTATTTTTGTAATCTGATGAAGTAATTTATATAAGTTTTGTATATCAACAAGTATATACGTGGTGTTGAATTCTAGTTCACTTCAATAGCCTTGATTTCTGGGTAAATTTAGACATTAATCACTGGCATATTTAAGCCATGTCTAAAAGGATTTGTTTGTAGGACAAAGAATTTCCTGTGTTTGAAAGTGTTCTAGAACCAAGCTAAAAAACATCTTTTTTAAGTGGAGAATCTATTCTCTGACTCTTTAGACAATGAAATATGTTCCTGCTGGACAGTGACTAAGATTATTATGACTTCTATGTTTTCATAGAACTTTATATTTATATTGAAAGAAATGTTATTTGCACTTTAAAAATAAAAAACAGAAATAAACCAAACATTTACTGGCTCCTGTTTCACTGGCATATTGAGTAAGAACACTAAAATGGGAAGAGGGAGTTGGGCTGGCAGGTCTCTGCTCTACCTTGGAAAGAGAGTAGTTTGGTGTTGGGGTGTTTGTGGGGGCTACGGAAGAGAAGGAGGCAGGAGAAGGGGTCTGTTTGTCTGTTTTGGTCTAGAGATTTTACAGAAGAAAGAAACACTATTGTTTTGCATGTTTCAGCTGATTTCTGCATAACAGGCAACGGAAAGAATTACCCTGTAAACTTTAGGAGAGATTAACACTGAGCAACAATTTGACTCTTTGAGGGGAGGGTGGTATTGGGAGATGGATAGAATTAGTGGAATGCCTTGCTTAGCAAAACTGGTGAGTCAAGTATGTGCATTAGAAGTGCTGATAGATACGAAAAGGGGTTCAGAGTAGACCCCCTTTTTCATGAAGCCATTTAGTGCAAGTGACCGTAGTAGATATTGCCTCTGCAATCTGGGATTTTTGTATATTCGCTTTTCTTAAGAGAACCATGCATATCCCTTTCTCAAATAAAAAAGAAAAGTGAGATTTGACCCTAGACCCCTGGCTCTTAATCTATAAGAGGAGATAATGTTTCAGATGTTCTTGAAGATTATTTGCAACAGGAAAGTGTCCCTATTACTGACCAGACACCTGTCACTCATCATGTACCCCACCCAGCTGCTGCCTAATTGTTTTAACTTTATCTTTGGAGTGTAATTAAATAGGGTAAAGTTAAAAATCAAGACAGGTTAGAGAGAAAAATATAAAGAATGGCAGCATTGCACATAATGGCTCACATGTATATGAACCAAACTATCTTGTTTAAAGGTGAAAAATCCATCTGAAGACCTGGTCCCCACAGTCTGACAAATGAGACTCCTCCAAATCTTTGGTAAACTGCGATCCAAATGGCAACTCACAGGCATGTTTTCTATGTGCTCTCTTGGCTTCTTTGCTAAAGTCACCTCCTCCTCCGTCCCTAGCAAGACCATGCTGGAACTTAAAGACTGCACTGATGTATAAAAATGAAATCCACAAAAACACGTAGTGAGATGTAAAGGGGAAATGTTGCATTGAAGGTCCTATATTAATATCATGGTCAACATGTTGAGCGGAGACATAAAAGGTGTGGAGTATCTGATACAACTATTTGTTGTTTTGAGCTGCTTCTGGCATCTTAATCTCGGATAATGGCAATTGATCACAGCTCGCTATCTGAAAATTTTATTAATGTGTCGTGCTGCCTCACCACATAAGAGAATTTTGTACTTGGGGCAAGTTTTACACATGCAAATTATTTGGGTTTCGAAAGACTATCTCAAAATCAAATGTCTTGTCAGTTTTTGATACCTTGGGAGGTGGAGGTGGGAGAATGACGAGGATGAGCAATTTTTCAGATCGTCATTGATAGCCTAATGACGATGATGGTGATCATGATGATGATGAAATAGTTCACATTTGAATTCACTGTCTCACACATTGTTTCACCTGCTCCTTACAATACTCTAAGAGATGTAAGATAGTTATTGTCAATCTTTAAAATTATTATTATTATCATCATCTAATGTTATGGATAAAGAATTGGTACGTTCACAGGTGGACTTGTCCCAGATTGTAAAATACTGGAAATTGAAGCCAGCCTTATAGTGTACACTCCAGTTTTCCTCTGATGATGCTTAAGAGAATCCCCATTTTCACAACTACTAAAAAGATGCAAACTCTTCAATACCAACAAATGGCCTTGCTCCAGTATTCCTCCCCAGCCACTTCCTCTCCAACACAGTGTCCCCCTAGCCCATTACTTTGATGTGGATGTTCATGGGTTCTAAGCCTCTGCTTGACAGGAGAGAGAGCCAGGGAAAGTAGGCTAGACCAGTCCAAGCAGGACTTAGGAAAGCAGGAGGCAGGTCAGGACTCTGTTTTCTGTGTCCCTCCCAGCACACAGCTAAGAGCACGCAGGCTGAAGTTAGATTTCCTGGGGGCAGGGTGTGGGGGGGACCTTGATTCTGAGACTTCAAAGCTGAGCAACTCTGGAAAGGTTACTTACCCTCTCTGTGCCTTGTTTCCTTACCTATAAAATGTAGATAATTATAGAACCTACCTATAGAGTTGTTGTCAGAGACTTTGAGTTACTACTAGATGGGTTGGAGGTCTTGACCATGTTTGCTGATTGATGCTTCATGACATGAATACCAAGACAATAGTTCAGGACTGTGGCGTTTGGTCCACAAACATGTTTGAGCTCTCCCATCTTACAGGAACCAGAGAAAACAATTTTATATTTTGCTTACACGAAAAGCAGAGACTTGTCATTCTTTCAAGGCCAAAGTGTGTTGGAAAGAGACAGAGTCTTTATGTGTCTGCCTTTACTTCCTTACCTTGAGTCATTCCACCTCTTCCCGAAATTTTCACCCCCCTCTTCACTGCCATCTTCCTAATTGTCAAATCCATTAATTCTCCCACCTCCCTTCCTTTCCATTTCCTTGGCTTTGTTTTTTTAAAGGTACAGTGTATTTGTTTTTGCTAACCAGCCTCTTCTTAGTATATGGTTCTTGCTTGGTTTTAGTGAGATTTCTCTAAGCTATTTTCCTTCTTAATTCTGTTTCTTCTTCCTTCAGGGGATGCTCTCCTCAGCAAGGAGGCAAGCCTCAAGGTGCCTCTCATTATATTAAAAACTATCTATATTGTGTGTAATAAATGTCCTTCCTACCATCTTCAAGTGCACCTTCTAAGTTTCTGCTTGCATTGAGTTCCAGTACACACTCATAGATGAGGTGTATGCACACATATCCTATGTATATGTGTGAATATACACTATATACAAGGTATATCCAGAAGGTATCCAGCCATGTACTATGAAGAATAGAGACAGTTATTGAAAAAGATACAATGTACAAGAAACATTGTACACAGGACAGTAACGCCTCAGTCCCCTTCAAAGTAGGCGCTTTGGTATTGCCATCAGCTGCCCCATCATATTTTCCTGAATCTCATTGATGGACTGAAATTTCTTCAATTTCAAAGGTGATTTTAGTGTTTTGGGGAAAGCCAGAAGTTGCAGGGTACCAAATCTGGGTCGTAGGGGAGCTGAGTCACCTGGGTGACTTGACATTTCACAAAAAAACTATATGAGATGTGATACGTGAGTGGGTACATTGTTGTGATGAAGCTGCCAATCATCAGCTACCCATAGCTGTGGCCTTCTGAATCACCTGAGTAGTTTCTGTGGAGGAATGTTCAAGCTTAACACAAAATTTGATGCAGATTTGTTGCTCTACTCTCTCAGCCATTTTGAGTGCAACGACCACACAGTACACATGCTCACTCAACGGCGTCTACTGTCCCCACTGACTAGCACAGTGAAGTTGTCATTGTTCACACATGTGCATTTCAGTCCACTCTTCTTGGCTGCCAGGTTACATCGATGTTGTGCAAACTGTTCTTGTTATATTAACAAGATAGCTTGACTTTTTCAGGACAGACATTGTATGTATGCACACTATATGTACATACCAAACACAAACTATATATCCACACACTATAAGCATACAGACAAGCTTGTATATACTATATATGTATATATGCACATAAACTGTACATGTATGTACATTACATATGCGCATGCATACTTTATGCAAACTATACATATATATGGGTACACATTATATATACACACTCTATGTACATATAACTGACATTATATATGCACAAAGGGAGAAATTATATCTGTATATCTGCTATATATATCACCACCATTCTTCCTGCACGCACACATACACACCTAACACGCCACCATTTATCTCTGCCCCTAATACCATGTCTCAGTATTGGTTCAGTATTGCATGAATCCTGGAAGCCATTGAAACACACCTTGGCCATGAATCATGCCTGTCTTCATCCATTCCATTCTCTATCAATAGTGTACCCTAGCTTCCTAAATGAGGACATGCTCATGTCCCATAATCTCTGTTCTAGAGAGGCCCATGGTGTACTGGAAGAGAGTCAAGCAAACAAATACATCTAATCTAATATAGTCAGTGCGATCATGCATGGTATAGGTGTTGTTGTTAAGGGTGCCCAAAGAAAGAGGGGTCGGTTGAGCCAAAGAAACCATGAAGGATTTGTATGTGCTCAGAAGGCAGGGTGAAGAATATACTCACCAGAAGAAAGAATACTGCAGAATTAGAGAGGACTGAAGGAACTTGACATACTTGAAACATGGTAGGAAGATCTGCGCATCGTGAGAACAAGGAAGGATAATCAAGGCATGTAGTATTGCCTCTTGACAAGCCAATTGAAACTGCTTAGAACTGTTTGCTGACCTGCTTAAGTCACGTGGTTTGGGGAGGTTGTATATAAAATTGCTTTGAAATGAATGACAGGTCTTGCTATCATTTGTTGATTTATAATGAGTACATGAATAAATGCATTGAAAACTGGACTTGGAAATGAGA